AGAGGGATGAGACCAAGATAGGATGTAACATAGGAAAGCTTGTACCCATAACACCTTTAYATCACATTGTGCCATCATATATTCTAGCCTGTCTGTCATACAGAAAAGGAGACCTGACAGTATAATATGTAGCTTCCAAGCAAGGGCTGATTCACCATGTCCATACTCAGCCTCGACGTGCCACACACTCACTGCTGGGGGAACAAACAATCAAGGAAAAAAAAAATCAAGAAAATTTTATAAATGTTCTATAGGGAGTTTGACTGTCTTTTTTTTTATTTGGTCTATATTTTTATTAACACCACCCCTTAAGGGAGCCATGTGCAGTGATCATTATCAGTCCATCCATACACAAAGCACACAAAGTCCCCCATAAGTGTTGACCTTAAATTGCCTTTCTCTATGTAGAAATGTCATGATCTTCATGAAGGAAACCTTTTTGCTTGTTTATTTAAATGAAAAACATGGCCTAACACACACAAACATACAGCAAATGTAAATATACTAATATTTGAGAGAGTTTTGTAAGGAATTGCTGAAGCATATGCTAAAATTAATTCCTTGCCCCCCCTCCAAGTTTATCACAAAACTGTGACTGTTTCATTTACACTGCTTAATGGTCCATCTTTCTCAGGACAGCATTATGTTACAAATCTCTCTGCAATTTCATACTCTTACCTTGCAGACTATGCTTAAAGAAAAGAAAAAAATATAAGAAAAAGGAAGCATTTTCTCCTTTCTTTTAAATGTAGCTCTTGTCTAAGTGCTCGGACAGGCACTRTCAGCTCTGAAAATTCAAGATTAATCAAGCAATTAAGAATTGATATCTAGTGGCTTATCACGACTGGAAATGAGAGATGCTGCATTCATTTTAGCTCTGCAAGAGCCCAAAATAGCTAACCTGATTTTTATGGACATCGAGATTATTTTAAATCTTTTGGGGAGCACAGCTACAATTCTTCCTTTTACAATTAAAGTGGTTCCTTCAGAACCCCTATCTGTATTTTGCACATTTCTTAGCAAAGGGACGGTCGGTATCCATGGCCATGTTGGAAGAGCTGCTGTGCTTCAGATTCACACCCTGTCTTTACCTGGATGAGTCTGAAAGTGTACAGAAATCCCGAAAAAGAACAGGAGCCCAGATAAAGTTTTGCTTTCTCTTAGCCATATGCCAGCACAACAGCGCACTGCACTGCTTGAATAAACAACCCAACTAAACAGGAATTACATCACCTCAAAACTGTGGTTTCCTTTARACAGTAAAAAGAATAGCTAACATTTCCATTCACATAATTACCAGCATTATCACCTCTTCTCACACCTCCTTCTCCAGCATCTAATTGTGATGATAAGGACTTCCCTGCCTTGCTTCCTTGTGAGTGGAGAGAGCCTTTGGCAACCCAGCTGCAGCCATTTGCCTTCCTCTCCATGAGCTCGGGAACTTTTWCAGCAATCGCAGTCGGAAAGACTTCATGGGTTGGATGAGCAACAACACAGCACATTCCCTCAGCATACATATTTGGGCTTTCTATGGTAATTTGGATCTGATGAACTTTCTTTATTGCCAAAATGGTGGATGCCTCTGTAAAAGAGAGGAGTAACTTCTGCAGCTTTGCTACCTCAGCAAACAGACCTCAGACAGGGAGATGTGAGTCTGATTGATACCTGCATAAGAAATCAAACATTAAGAGTGAAGTGCTGCAGAAGCCAGTGCTGATGACTCAGGAAGAAACTCTTTTTCCCTAAACTCTAAGTTGCCCAGCAGCTCTTACTTACCCAGCTACTGGCTTCTTCCTGGGCAACCTGATACAAATAAGAGCATAGAAACCTGAGTTCTGTTCTTGACTTCACCTCTGATGCTCTGCAGTTTTGGAAGTAATTTCAGCTCCTGAGTCTCCATTTTTTCCATGCATGAAGCTGAAATGACATACTGAGCTTTGCAAGAACTTCTGAAACCTTTGATTTTAATAGCACGTGTCAGTGCCAAAAGCACCATTACGGGCATTACAGCCCTAATTCTCTCACAAGGGAGGGAAGCTCACTGTGCCACAGGTATTTTGGATACAATTATTACCCCTAGAAGGGCTCAGATATCATTGCACAAAATTGTAGGCAGATGAATCTTTCAGATGGGATAGAAACCAGAGGCCCTGACAGGTTATTAAAAGACATAACGTTTTGAAGAAGCCCATATGTTAGCTTTTTCATGTTCACCCTGTTCCAATTTGGATAATTATGTTCTGACTCCTTAAAGCAGGGTGGCTGACCTGCCTGGCCTTACCAGATGTATATCCAAATCTTCATGTGGCCCAGAGCAATACAACACAACCCACATATTTCAAAAACCTGAAGGAAAAGAGGAACTCGAGGAGAGGTTCATCAGCTAACGAGAAAGATTTCCTCCTGGAATGGGAGCCTGCCCCACGTGCTGAAACAGTCCTATCCTCAGAAGCCGACAGCTTCTCCTGCATCACTTTCCACAGGAACCAAAGCACCATCACACTTTGTCCCCAGGTAGCTGCGTAGTGTCAGCTCTTTGATGCACAGATGTTGTCAACCTTGAAGATTCACAGCTCGCCACACATTCCAGCAGTTTACAGGCCTGGTTAATAACAGTGAAGGACTTAGTAACATACTAGTTACTAACAGTAATCTGCATTTCTAGTTCATCATTAACAAAGAAAAACATTTCATCCCTTACAGTAAGTGGAGACTTGCCCTAGAATCAAGAAAGAAAAGACACTGAAGGTTCACATTCTTCTCTTGGAGATCATTGGTGCTCTCTGAGCTTCTCCTTTTTTCTTTATAAATTCTCAGTGATACTTTTCTATGCATAGCAAATCTTGACCATCACAGAATACCAAAACACAGAAAGAGTGGTATCTGAGTTTTCATCAGCTTCCTGACATAATAAAGAGAAGCAGCATATGATCCAAAGGATTTTTTCACCATGTACACACAGTAAATTTTCCCAAACYCAAGAKRMGAGGCTATTTCAAAATGGTAGAGAAAGTGGTAGCAGTTCCAAGCAGCCCCCAATATCTGGCCAATTTTGTGGTTTAGATGCCACTTTGACCAAATAATGGTGTCAGCAGCCACTCTCCTGTCCCTTGCATGGTATCTAATGAAATGATTGCACAAGATGTCACGGATGCAAGACAGGGCAACCTGTCCTGTCCCCATCTCTTCACAGGTAATGGTTGCACGTGGGCCATGGTGAAGTGTCAGAGTCACCAACCCCAGGAGTAGAAGACAATCATGGCTGGGGATGTTCTGCATGGCTRTAGCTGCCCAGCCCAGGGATTCTGTGGTCTGGGGGTTACCAGGGAAGCTGATGGGGGCATGTGGGCATGCAGGGGACAGGAGAGCAGAGAGGACCTAGGGCACCATCTGGTGGCTTCACTCACTGCCTTCCCTAAATCCTTGCCTCACAGGGTCATAATACTGCATGGCCAAGGGCTGAAGGAACACCAAGTCCTTCCAAGAGACAGCCCAGCTGGAACAAGAGACCCCTGTCCTTAGCCCAGACTCGCACATCCTTATGGCACTGCTGGGTGGGTCAGTGGAGCAAACCAGAGCTTAGTAACAATTTTTCTTGGGTGCTCTTTGGTCTAGTACTTCCCTTGATAAAGAACCAGCCCCAGGCTGGGTATTTAGAGATGATTTGCAGTAGAGACACCCCTGAGAATGCTAAAGAAGAGAAGACAGAAGCAATGAAGGAGAATACCTTGGACATGCTTTCATTGGTGTTATCCACCACAGTAAGGTCTTGTCTGTAGATAAAGGCAAAACAGTATGACAAAACAGTATCCATGGAAGAGCTTGTCCTCTGCAGAAAAGGATCAAACCAACGAACYTCTCACGTGTACCCTGTTTTTTGACTTCTCAAATTAGGATTTGCTGTAAAGCATTATGAAGAAGACCGTTTAAAGGGAATAGATGACCTCAGCATCACCAACATCCTTTGCAGCAATGCCAGCTAAGACTGAGGATGATCACAGTGAAACGCTGCATCTCTCAGGACCAAAGGCTCATGCCTAGTGAAGAGGGCAAACGATCCTGGTGCAACCACAGCATCTCCTTTAGAAGAAGGCAGGCAGTGCATTTCCACTGCTTACTTTGATAACAGGTCTCCACTTCTCTGAAATCCTGTCAGTAGGAAAGGATAATTCAACACCTGGGAATCAAAGGTGATACCACTATAACCAGGGAGCTTGCTCTGCGTGTAATAGCACCATGATGGGGSAAGTAAGAGGAGCTGAGGCCCTTAAAGACACAGTTTTTAAGAGGAATCCATTCTCAGCATTCAGTTTAAAGGAAAATGTGTTGGGTGAACACAAGACAGTCACTGTTCCTCACATTTGTGGAGCTRGGGGAACTGATCCATAATTTCCTTTTTTTCCCCCTCCCAATTGCCTAACACTTAGAAATTAACCCGTTTCCTTTTGTTAGTAAAACTCCTTTTCTGCACCAATTCTCATGGGCCACAGAGCTGGGCAAGACAAAAAGACCAAATGACAACAAAAAGATCAAATGACTGCCTTGTCCCTGAACAAATCTCTGCTATGAAGTAGCTATACCAATATTATATAAATTATATTTGCTAGTCACTCGTACCTGTGCCTGCAGGCATTTCCTCATACCACCTTGGAAAACTCCATGCCATTTAAAAACATCCCTGCTCTCACAAGCCTCTGCTTTATGCTTTCCTCTTTGACACATGCTGTTGCTTTCATGGCTGCCCATGGTGCATGATGCTAAAGAAGTGATTTTAGATTGTGGCTACATAGCTTTAAACTGCCTTCTTCTCATGCAGCAGCCTTTTAGCCTTCCTCACAGGGCCAACCCAAAAACCATTGAAATCCACACAGTGACACACCCCCACCCCCCATTGATTTTGACAAGGTTTGGCGCACAGCCAAACCCCACACTTGCCAGTGTTTCTCAGAAATTTTTACTTTTTCACTTAATCGATCAGAGCCTGGTATGATTCTTCCAGTACTYTAGCAGTGACTGTACTAGAATAAGATTTTCCATTCCAAATACTGTTCTTTCTCTCATGTTTCATTTTACATAGCTTCAGCTATTTAATCTATAGAATTGTTCAGGAATAAATTTAAGAAACATGCTACTTGAAAAGGAAACAGAAGCACAAGGTAATTCAACTCACTGCAAAGACATTTCCTTTCACTGCAAGGAAATTTCCAGTAGCACCCAGTATTTTTAGCATTTATAAAATTTAAAAAACAAAACACAAAACCTAAGCATCATTATTTTGAAAGTTTTTACTTTTCATCTGATCCACCAGCATCTGCTAAATATTTTATTGACATACTGCAACATATTTATAATTCATCTCATCATTTCTTCAAATTTGTTAAGGAAAGCAATTGTTATACCTGTACAATCCTCTGTAAATTCTTCAGTGAACACAAATGTTTCCTGGTCATATTAGTAAAATCTAAAACCTTTAACTTCAAAAATATTTATTTATAATTGTTGTGATCACTTAACAAATTATAAATTGGTATAATAAGCCATGTTGTCTATTCATTGCTCTTTCTGAAATGAATTCCTCAGCACTGGGAAGAGAAAAAGCATTTTTCCGTGGTTAAAGAAAGTCCAAATTGCATGTTTGAAATCTCTTCTAATAAAAAGAGCAAAGCAATAAGCGGATTATCTCTTTGACCATAGTATAGGAAGGCTGGAGGCCCTGGAGACATTTTCCATAGCCTCTATCTCTGATACATAGCAACATTATCTTCAACTAGAGAGGGTCCTATGACCCTGRAGCTCAATTTTAATTTGATCTTCTCCTTTAAAGAGGTTACTACAATTCTTCTCAAGTTATGCTGCATATTCTTATTTTGGGTTAGTTTTGTTTGGTTGTTATTTCATTGTTGTTTTCTAATATGAGATAAAACAGCCTCAGCTTTTTGATCCACTGGTTTGATCATGTTATATGGATATTTATTGTAACTTCCTCCCTACCAGAACCAAAATTTGCATCAGCACAAATGGTAGGCAAGTTCCAGCTGACAGGGGAGAGAACTTGGATAGAAAATTAACTTCTAAAGGCCTCCCTCCTCCTTCCTTCAGTCGTTTTAAGTTTCAGAACTGGTCTCTCTGGCCAATAATGGGGGGGGGGGGGGGCAGCGGGTAAAGGAGCTTTATACTTCTTATAGTGGCCAGCTGAAACAAAGGCAAACCTATTGGTTTTGGTGGGGCAGAGGTACTATGCCTGCTCCCACAGAGGCTCAAAATCCCAACTGATAACAATGCTCATTGCCAAGAAGAACAGGAAACCTGGGAACTTGGCTTGAACTTCTGTGAGCTGGATCCTGGCCCCAGACCTGCCTGGCTTATGCAGCCCCAGCAAGGGAGTTTCCTCACGTTCCAGCCTCTTTGTTCCCTGGAATAGGCATCAACTGTCTCTGAGACGTTGTCAGGAAGGGATATTTTCTCTGTGTTTTTTTTCTCCGCCTTTATCTCTGTCCTCACCACGCACTGCTGATACTGCTGAAGGGGAAGTATTTACTTGGAGGCACTGTAAGGTCACAGCAGGCATCTGTGACTACTTGATGGGATTAGCAGATTATGAGAAAGCATGTCTCCTGTGGGGTTCCTGAGAAAAGAAAAATGGGCAGGTGGATGCCTGGATCTGGTTAAACTATGCATGAAGTCCTGATGGCCATTTTGAGCACAGGATCAGATGGACTGCTGCAGGTCAGGATTGGAYCATCAAGCCAGCAAGCAGGGAAGACTCTGGATTGTCCTACCACTTGCAGAGGATCAGAGTGAAGTATTTCAGCTGGGGCAGGTGAGAGAAACCTTCACAGATTGCCCATTCCCAAGATAAGTGCTTGACAAAAGCAGCTTTTCTTTTGCATCAAACAGCTTTGCTGCAAAATAGCTTTGCTGCATCAATGCAGACTGAGCCCCGAGGAATTTTAACAGATACATTCTGTTGTTAATGAAGGGCGGTTTAGAAGGAGCCAGGGGTTCACAATTCCCTCGTTGGTTGTGCTCTGAAGTCACTGTRGATCTCTGCATGTATCTGCATCTCATCTGGGATGTAAGAGAGTAGCTCTGCCATACAGAAAGATGTCCACATAGGGTCAGATATCTTCCCTGTTAGATATTCTCATACAATGTATCAGAGGATTCTTCTAGCGTTTCTTGCTTCTTAGGTGTCTGCAGAATGATGAAAATGAGAAAAAAGAAATGCAGGACAATTATTTAAAAGATTATGAATTAATTCTTAATAAGCAGACACTGATGTTTGTTCTATTAGAAATGGCTGTAAGTGATCTGCTGAAACAGAAGCCAGTACAGTGAGAAATGTTGCTCCACCAGAGACRAACATGACTAATCCAGCCCAAGGGATAAAGATGACTCCTTTACTAGTCACTCTTCCCCAAAAAAACTGTCAGACAGGGAGGGGAGGGAAAATTGTACTCAGTAAGAAAATAAATCACTTTGGATTCTGTGAAGGAGGAATTCCCTGACCTCCTCAATCCTGTTTCTTCAACAGTTGATTCTATTCCTCACGACCATTCCTTGTGTAGACAAGGCGCTGACAGACTGATATTTTAAGTGCTGTGTGGCACAGGCCTGCTGTAAGCAAGGTTACACAGCAAGCAGCTGAAATGCCACCGGCTGAACTAAGCCCTACCTACATTAGCATTTTCTCCGTTGCCACTACCAAAGGGAAACACTAGGAAAGTGCAGAGTGGAAGCACCTCCAAAGCATGCAGGATTAACCCCTTGCTACCCAAACTGGCTCAGTCCAGAATGACAGCAAGCCAATACTCATTTCAGAGGTTCTCTGACCTGCTTCCCTTTGCAGTTCCCCCTCTATGCACAGCATCTTGCAGCAAGGGTTGGGCTGGACCCCTGAAGCAAAGTCAGCCAGTGTTCAGCAATCTCAGCTCCCACTCACAGGCCAAACTCACTGACCCACAAGTCTCACTCTTAGGGAAAACACCCTCCTATATTCAGGCAAAACCAGCTGGAGAACAAATGTCCCAGGTGGTCACAGCCCAAGATAACTGAAGGAAGCTGATCAGGATGCTTATAACCATAGTGGATAGTGCAAACTCTCCAGTTTTGAGCTCGTGGGACCCTGCCACTCACACTTCCCTTTCTTCAGAGCAGAAGAACTGAGGTCACTTGGAGTTATCTGCTCTCAGTGAGAGGTCATGACATCCTCTCTCTGCTTTCTCTCCTCTTTCTCCCATCTCTGCTCTGACCTTTACCACACCCTGGCCAAGACTGCTAGCACCAGACCCACACACACAGATGCTCCAATGCTGTTGCTTTGTTGCTTTGCTGCTGGTCTGTTTTAATCTGTTTTACAGAACCTCTGCCCCTCAAAGTAGTGGTTGAATGGTATGGGCCACACACAAGCAACTCAGCACAGCCCAGACAGCTGCCTGCTGGGGAAAATCCTACACATACTTCATCTTACCATCCACACTGAGTCAGTTCAAAAGGAGCAGCTGGTAAAGGTATACAGAAGAATAAACATGATCAGATAGAGGGAGTCAATCCAATTAATGCAAAATGCAGCAAGACACAAATACAGGGATGCTGTCATTTCCGATGCATCATGTAAAATAAGCCCATATAGAACAACCCATCCTTCCCTGTAATAATCCCAATAATCAGGGACCTGCCACTGCTTTTGCTACCACCACCATGGTGGTGCCACAGCAGTAACTGCAGGAGGCCAGTGGCCATGGGACCAGACCATGTGGCAAGCAGCTCTGACCCAAAGGGGGCTGGTTGATTTTAGACCACCTTTTCCTAAAAGGTGGGAGTTGTGAAAATGTCTCAGACACTGGAAAATACTGTCCCTCATGAAAGAGAGAGATGGTGCAACCAGGGGAACTCTCCCCAACAGAACATTAGTGGGAGAAAGCAGTAGACATTTTCAGGAACATTTTCTGGCATTAAAAGAGAAGGTATTTTTTTAAGCAGATAAGAGATCTGGAGAAGAAAAGAAAAATTAAGTTCTGGGGACAGGAAGGAAATGTTCCCTGGGGTGCCTGATGCAAGTTTTGTCCACATGAAACAGGTGATGCCTGCCAAAGGCAGGGTAGAAGGCTGTGTGGGCCTCTGATCTGCTTCATGTGGCCCCCACAAGTAATTTACACCTGCATATTTCTAGTTGCCTCTATTTTTGCTATGAATGAATTTAGTTCCTTGTCTCTCACTCATAATTCTCAGCCCAGCAAAAAGATTCAAGTCCAAAATATACCCACACTGTCTTCCTGAGCACCAGAGCTGACAGCATTTGCTCAAGCCATTTTAGCTTCTGCTACCATGAAATGGCTCTCAGGTGCTTAATACTGGTGAGAGGAAAGCTGTGTTCAGGGTCTGCTTTTGGTGCATAGATTCCTTCAGCCCAGAGGAAGTCACAGCTACCTAAATAATATGGAAAGGGCAATAACAGGACCAGCAGCAACCCAACTCTTCATGAATGCCCATCTTGTTCAGAGGGACCAGTGATGCCAAACCCCTCAATGCCTTTCAGCATATGTCATACAGCAAAGCATCTGCACAAAACCAGGAGTTTCAGAACGGATAGTGCTGCAGGAGCCAGGATTCTGCCGGAAGAGGGAAGATAGGCTACATGTGCAGCCCAGCTGGTGAGTGCATGCCACATCCCATTTTCCCCTTTTGGTGTGACTGGAGACACACTTACTGCCTGCTACATCATGGTGTCTGTGGTTTCTTTCTCCATGTACCCAGGACATTTGGGAACTTTCCAAGATCATAGCCCCAGCCCTTACCTTCCCAGGAGGATTCTTGCTGTGTGACAGGTTGTTTGTGTTGTTCTCAAGGCTGGAATAGACATCAACTTGCTGCACATCCAGGCTCTGCACCAAGAAGAGAGAAGAAAGTAAGGGTCTAATAAATTATTTTGGTTTAAGCCAACTGATTACCCACTGGGTTGTTCCCCATCTCATATCTGACATTTTTTAGGAACCCCAGCCATCTCCAAAATTTTGAAGTTCCTGACTTAACTTGGGCAAACAGAAAATCCTTTTCCCCTGAAATCCCTACAGTGCAGCTGCATCATCTTTTTTTTCAGGCTTACAGAGACAGGTTTGGATTTACCTACCCTGAGTAAAGCAGTGGAGAAGAATGCCAATGCCCTTGCCTCCTTCTGCTCCAAAATTGTCCCAGAATGCAGAATGAAGACCTCTTTGCCACATGGAACAATGCTATGCACCAAGGGGACCACAAGTAAGGGGCAGTGCTTTGCACTGCCGAAGATTGTTTAGGTGCCTGACAACCACAAGCTCTTATTCATAATTATTCTGGAGACATGAGAGTGAGAAAACAAGAGAGGTTGGGGGTCCAAAAGCACAGGGGCTGTCAAAAATGGAARCAATTTCTGTTTATTATCTGTTTGATTTTTTTTCCCAAGCCAGAACTCTCCTTTCTTCTTCGTGAGCAAAGAATAATAAAAAAAAAAGCATATTCTCCCAGGCTCTCAAACATTACCATGGTCCCACACTGCTACACAGAGAAACACACACACCCTACATACATATGCACCCGTTGTCCCCCAGGTAATCGTGTCACAGGAGATGCATGTCAGTTTGAGTGACATTCCAGATCTGCCTGAAGGATCAAACATAACAATCAGGAGGACTTTTCCATGTGYGTTTCAAGGATGACAGCAGGTTGCCAAGGTGGCTGTTTCTCTGGCAACAGGAAGATGGGAGGAGCTCCGGTTGCAAGAGGGGCAGATGGTRTTAGTGAAGAGAGCAAGGCGCCCTGAAATGCAGTGAGGAGGATGAGCAAAACATGGAGGCTTCACTGGGGGCTGCCAATCACCTGAACACTCGTCATTTCATCCAGAGCTGCAAACACTCAGCATCTTTAAGGATCATGGCCAGCAGGACAGTGCTTTGAACAGGACCAAAGAATAGAAAAGCAGCACTGGGGAGCGGGCCTGAAATAAACAGGCATTCAGACATGAGCTGGACACAGTGAATGGAGCACAACACGACTCTCACATTCCCTGCTACTCTGGAAACAGTCAAATTATTTCAACTGTCTCCTTCCTACTCCCCAAAACCTGCTTTGCCTACACAGACATCCCCACTATTTGCATGTGCATACGTGCACACGGAAAATTCTATTTCCCCATCCTCAATTTCAATGCTCTTTGTGATGCTGACAGCGAGGACGTCATCTTGTGTGCCATGCTTCCAGAAGCCTGGCTCCAGGTCTTCTTGGCCTCCCTCTCTGCTCCAGGCTGAAGCCACTTGCAAGAAAGAAGGATCCTTTTGGTCTTTAACCTCCAAAAAAGATTCCCTTCTCTCCACAAGCCTTCTTCCCATGAAGGCTATTAACAATGCTGGTCCTTTTCTGGTCAGTTGGACAGCTGGTGTCTCCAAACACCATTTGCAAGTTAATTACTTTTACTTGGTTCTTGATCATCTGCTACTGTTACAGCGGAGACACACGGGCCACTCTCCTCCCTGCTGACAGATGCTGCCTTCCCATCCCTGAGCAACCTGGAAAAGCTCCTGTGCTCTGGAACCTGACTGCACCTGCACTGCAGGAGTTCTGTTTGCTGCTCAAAAAAGCTTGTTTGAAGTGTAAAAMAGATGAAGCAAGTTCCTCAGATTGTTATTTCCAAGCTGCTTGTTAACTAAGCAGCTAAGCTGGAAATCAGAGGATGTACAGGTTTGGTTCTCGGCAGTGCAGTGAAGCAGAGCTACTCTAGGGCTGCAGGAARACAGAGAGGTTAAGGAAGCCAGTACAGACAGAACGAAGTGGGTTCTGAGCTGCCCATTTATTACCAGGCTTTTCCTTACCTTATATGATTTTCACTGCATACAGRTAACCCTGGGGACTACAAGGTAAATAGTGGGACCTGGAAGAGCCACTGAGGAAGGTATTTGCTCCCAGGGATGTTCAGCACGATGGCTTTGCAAAAGGTGTGTTAGGACTCTTCCCAGACCAGGGATGAGCCTTGCTACCATACAGAATAACAGAGCATTTAATAAGCTGTGCCAGCCAGTTCCAATACCATCTGTTACTTTGATGTCCAGTGCTGCCTCCTCYTGTTTCTGCTCCCAGCTCCAGGCCTGCAAGACACTGTGGTTCCCTGACCTGACTTTTCTCCAGACTCCAACCTCTTACTTTCCCCCACAGATMGCATAGCTGGCATATGCTGGCCTCCTGTCCAGTTCCCTGATCTCTGACCTCCTTTATCTCATCCTTGGGAGTCACTTCTCACCTGTCCTTCCTTTTATCCTTGCCTTAGATTACTTCAATGCTGATCACAGATTTCTCTCCTCCTCATGAATTAAGCACAGAGTTCAACACCCACCCAGATTTTCACAACTCACCTAATTTCAAACAATCTGCAGGGCTGGGTTTACACCATGCAGAGCCCYAACAAAATTTACCAGTGGGGCACCAGAGCTATCATTCAAAGCAAATCAGGTTTGTCAACTTTCTATTCGCKTCACCTGTTCTAAGCACCCATCCAATGCATGTTTCCCTGGGCTCTCATCCTCTCTCCCTGCCACATTAAGCCTTGCCAGGCCGTGCTCCCGACTCTTCACATCTCTCCACTGCTCTCCACTGCTCTTGCCATGTACCTTGTCTGGACTAGGAGCTGCTTTGTGCCTGAACAAGCACTGCTGCTGCAGCAGCTGTTCCACAATATAGGAACCTCCAGTGGGCAGATTTGTACCCCCCAGCGTGGCAGAGATGGTCCCACGCTGCTTGCAGCCCTGCCAAAGAGGGCCAAGCCACCTGCCCTGCACACCGGTCTGGCCAGGAGCCCTGCACAGCCGGTGTGCAGTTAACAGCCTTCACAGGAAGGCTGGTTGTGCCAGGTCCATAGGGCTCCTGCAAGCACAGGGGCCCAGCCAGCTCCTGGGATTGCCTGTGCCTTAGGCTGGCTCTGCTGGCTTGCTATATTAGCCTTAGTGGAGCCTGAACAGAACAACATGATGAAACATGTAATTAAGATGGAGCTAAGGATGCATGACGAAGCTGACTGAGCGAGAAATGGATTTGATTTTTTTTGTCTCCTTGCAGAAATCATCCACTTCAGCAGGAAACTACCCATTTGGATTTTTATAAGCCTGAATTAAAAAGAAATTACTTGATACAAATGAAAAGGTTTATAACCTGCAACCTCCTTTACCCAAAGCATTGCCTTTTGCCCAGAACAAACATATCACATACAATACATAGTGGTCTATTTTAAACCACTACTCCAAAAATTAAAGGGCCACAAAACGGTGTGCCACCCCCCCTCCCCACCCCCCAAGAGTGAGAATGAGAAGAGACAGGCCCATCCCCTTGTTGGTATGTGCCCTCGATCAGGTCTCCTGCCTCCCTGGCAGAGCTTTACTCCTCTCTGTAGTACATTCTCCAGAGCTTTGCTTTGTTTAGTTTAAATTATTAATGCAGCAGCGCTCACAGGTTTTCATTGGAGAGACTTTTCCAGCCCTTATAGACCTCACAGACAGAAAGGTTTCCTAATATTCAGGCAACATCCTTCTCTACTCACTTTCATTTTACTCCTCCTTGTTGGTCCCACTGAAGAAAAAAAAAAACAAACCCAAACCCTTCCCTTCTTAGTGGAGCAGCCATCCCATAGGAGTAAAAGGAATCCATTTAAAATGGASCTGGACAGGTTGTAAACGGGATTAGGAGACATGGTTACTTGAGGTAGCTGAGGTCTAGGCCTGACATTTCAGGGGAGCCACTTAAATCCGACTACCTACAACACTGYGACTACCAGGCTTGAGGACGGGGAGTAGTTAGCATTCCCCAGTCTGGGAAATGGGAAATGCTTAAAAAAAGAGACTCCATTTATCTTCTTCTTTCCCATCTCCCCCTGCTAGCTAGTACGCCTGCTCAGGAATGCAGTGGTCTGTGACACTGGCACCCCTGAAGGTGCCACAGCAGGAACTCAAAACAGCTGGGGGTTGTTTAGGGGAGCATATCTCTCTGCTCCTTTCCTGAGCCATTATTCTTCCAGCTGGGAAGGGCATATCCTTGTGACACTCTGCAGTACAAACTGGGGCTGAGAGCCCCTCTTTGTTCCTGACTTTTGGAGACCCTTCTAGCTCTTTCACCAGGAACCCTCTGTGGCCCCACACTTGCTGCTCTGTGCTGCTGTCAGAGGGAAGGGTGCTGCCTAGGAGGGCATGGGGCAAGGCTTGGGCACTAGGGAGGCCATAACTGGGACCAGGATGGMGACACACGCAGTCCTGAGAGAAGCTAAGCAGGACAAGGTCACCAAGACCAGGCTGGTATKAAGGTATTGCTTATGTTTTTACATCATGATACTGGCATTGTCTGTACCATGGATGGGAAAGAAAGGGTTGTACCATGATGTGGACAGAAGAGGTGAAGGGTGATTCTGGTACTCACATCATAGACAGGAAGTGGTGGTGGTGGGCTGGCTGAAGGGAGCTGYGTTTCCACCTTCTGTCTCAGGATATTTATTTGGTTCCTTCTAGGGCACAACACCTGCTCAGGACAAGACACCAAATGACAAACTTGGAGAAAACAACRTTTCCCTAAAGCTGAAATGAACACCAATGTCAATTCAAAGCCAGCTGTTTGCACACCTCCTGTATGCTTTCACAGGAAAGAGTGCTGGCAGTGTCTGCACAACACATGCTGGTTACTTTCCTCATCCCAGGGTTAAATGTAGAGTCAGTGACTTACACAGGAGCAGTGGAAAGAAGAACTGGGCTCTGTGTATGTGTATAAAGCACTTTCACCATTGGAACCCTGACTGGCTGAAGGGTGTAAGTATTTAACAGCACAGAACAATGCTATAGGACAGGGAATAAAGCAAGGCTCTAGTCATAGTGCAGAGAGGAGGTTGAGAGAGGCAAAATGCAATTACTTTTATCAGGATTTAGCAGAGAAGCTTTTGCTAATAGGCAGGGTCTACATAAGAGCACCAGACAATCGTTAATGATATAGTCAGTGATACATTAAGGCACAAGTCCTGCATGGAGCTGAAGGAAGAAAGTCCCTTTGTTTGAATTGTTTCTTGCACCAGATGAGTTCTCCTTGAACACATTCCATTCACACACAGAYGAGTTAGCCCTGCTCACAAGCAAGAGAAGAGGCAGAAAAGGCAGAAGGCTTTGCTAAGTATCTCTGTTCTAATTCAGAAAGAAGTGGGATGATTATATTCACATCACATGAAAACGACAAACTGCTTTCCAGTCCATTAGTAACTAAGGAGGATGCTAAATAGCTTCTCTAAAAGATAAACATTTTTAAACCAGCAGGTCTGAGCAAGCTGTGGTGAGAAATATGGGCTGTGTTCTGCAGGAGGGCAAATGTAATGATTGCAGAATCTCTTCAGACCCCAAGGAGAAGCCATAAGTCTGAGATTTGCTGGCCCACCTCAAAACCCAAAGATGCCAACTGGTGAGTCATGACAGTGCCTCCCCTCATCCCCACAGAGACGCTGTCTAAGCAAACAGAGATGGGGGCCTGTCTCCAGCTGATTCCCTTTGCTTCTTACACTCCTTCCCCTGCATCAGACTGCCTGCAAGGTAAATCTCGTGAGATTCGCTGGGCTGCCAACTGCTGCCATTGTGTTTTCAACCTCATGATTTCTGACTGGGTGTGCTGAAGCCTGATGCTCCTTGGAGCCCAAGGACTGTACAAGCAGCTCAGGCTCCACATAAAACTGCAAGCAGAGAGCCTGCTGTTGTGGTGGAAGAAAGCAGCTTGAACAAGTTATGGGTATACTCTACCTAGAAAACAACAATCCCAAATTTTATTCTAAAAGACATAAGGGTATTTTTTAGCCAGCCTTGAGACCTCTGTAAGAATGCAGATTATGCTATTTGAACACTTGAGGGTAGCAGTATTAGAAGCAGTAGGTTTTTCCCGAACAACAGGGATTCCAATATCATGACTACAAAGGTTTTTCCACCGGGCCTATCTCACCCAGATCTTTCAGCTCTGCTTTTGGCTTTTCTTCTGCCACTCTCCAAATCCTTTCTTCCCCACTCCTGGTATCCCCCTTGCCCTCACCTTCTCAGCTTCCACTTCCTTATCCAGCTGGTCCCAACCTGGGCCACCAGTCTGCTCACCCAAGAGGCTCTGCCAATCCAGTCTTAAACTCTCCTAGTGCTTTCTCACTCCAGATTCCAGTCCCAGTTTGCCCCAGGGGTCATTCTTCCAGCCTCACAGAATCACTACTTATGCAAGGTGTCCCTGCAGATTGTATAGTCTGATCCTTGTCTCTTTTCWTTTCCCCCAGTTATTAGTAATTTCTACAACAGACTTCTTTGGAATCCTTGTCTTGACTTTATCCTGTCACTCTGTGTCTTCATGTTTTCTTTGCCAAATGGATGCCCAATGCTTTGGTTCCCAGCCCCATCATGCTGCAGACCTTTTCTTCTATGGTGGCTCAGCTCAGGAATGCAGTTGCAATCTCCTTGAAACAGACAACCTCCATCTTGAAAGAGGATTAGAAATAGGGAAAGTCCTATTTAACAGACTTCCTTGAGTGCACAGGACATTAACTGGCCCCTTCACAGGGGTTTTAGACWACTGAATTGGTAAACTGACAAAAGCTATGACTGAGTACGCACAAACTGCAATTTTCCAAAATCCCATCACAAGGCTACAACTCCTTGACTATTTTCAGGGCCAGCACACTGCTAGTGTGACTTCTTGCCCTGTATCAAATCCTTACTCTAAAGCAGAATATGCTGTAGTCAAAATGATTACCAGAATTTCTTTAATGGACAAATCACTTAGTTGTTTTGTCTTTCCTGTAATCTTTTTTTCTCAGAAAAACTGAACTTAGGAAAATAAACTGGATCAGACACCCAGCATGGAAAATTTCAGCATGCAGACTTCCAATTCAGCCAAGTTAGAAGCAAATGGAASGAATTCCTAGAATAGGTTAGATATTGCTTTTTATTTGGTTGTTACTTGCCTTTCTTTTCCACAGAAGCAGAGCTGTTGCAGTGATGCTCAATACAGCAAGAAGAACAGTAAGGGTAACAAGGATTTTCCACCTGTAAGAGGTATCTATGTACCCTGTACCTGTAAGGATGAAGGCAAAAGGTTCACAATGTGAGTGGAAGTTACAACTCTGCTGTTTTTTAAACCCTGAAAAGAGCCTTGAGAAAACTACAATATAGGAGTGAAGAATATGGTGGCAGAAATGCACACACCCTTCAAAACATACTCTGACTGAAGAGAGAGCAGGGTGCAGCTGCACAATCACACAGAAGATRCAGGGTATGAGCAGCTCCACCTTGTAGAGGGAGGTGACATAACTATGAGAGCCAAGAAATTTGGTAGATAGAGGCTGGCAAAGGTCTTTTGTGATAGGAGCAGAAAGACAGATCGTGGAAAGTACACAAGACACATGAACTGGGAGGGCGGGTACTGCAGACATCCTCTGACCAGTATGGCAAAGCTATTTTGTCATGGCTCTTTGCATTTGCATTAACAAATTCTTCATACACAGGAGTCAGTAATGCACATCCTTATCATTTTTCTTTAACATTTCTCTTATGTGGCACTGAGTTTTCCCTTGCTTTCAGTGTGCTCATTAGCAGACCAACCAACTCCATGTATTAAATGGAAAAGAGGGAGGCATGTCAGTGAGTCCACAACCTTTTCATGAGCCCCTAAAACTGAGCACACTCAACCTACCCATGTGATTACAGCAAGCACCCTAATGACTGACCTTATCAGATGCCTCTGGACACTGCTGAAGGACAACCTACACTGTTTCCTGAACAGTGACACCAGTACCCAGGCTTCCTGGATAGATCTGGACTCCCAGGAGGCTGTGACAGGGCAGATATAAATTACAGCATCTTCATGCCCCCATCTAGGCATTGGGAACAGCAGCACAGGTGACCCGTGCTAAGTGCATTCAACCCTGATGGTAGTATTGGGCATAAAGTGTTATTCATACCTGACTTCATAGTATGTTTGAGTAGAGAAAAAGAAGAGCAAAGATCAAGTTTTCATAGCCAGATCCAGGTGATTTTTCACTTCCTGCCTTTCCTTTCTGGTTGTTCACTTACCTCTAGCAAGGACAAACACTCCCTTTCCCGTTTTTTGGATATCATTCCATTTGACCTCACAGTAGTACGTGCCAGTAGAAGAGGTGTTTTCAAGCAGCATGATTCTGTGATCATAATATAAGGCAGCAGTCTTATTCTCTTCTCCAGAAGGAATGACTACTTTTTCCGACCTATTATAGATAGATGTCTTCTGGTCCAGTGAATTAATCCAGTAATAGCAGATTGAAAATTTGGTGTATTTTGGCATATAAGGGAAGATGACTTTACAGGGGATGGATATTCCTTCCTTGAGCAGGACAACTTTGATTGGAGGTTTCTGCTGTACATCGACATTTCTCCCTGTAAGGGTAATAATTGTTAGCAGTCACCTAATATCACTTCCAGTGAGGAGAGGATGGCTGTCCCAAAGACAGGATCACGCTGAAAATAACCCTACACCAGGAAGCACTCCCACAGCACAGAGTGTTGGCCCTTGTCAGATGCTGAGTGATTCAGAGCACGTGCCCTGTGTGATCTGCCACATCTCTTGGGTAATTGCTGTCTGATCCTGATAGCCTGCTGCATTCACAGGCTTCCCCTTTTCTCTTGTGAGCTCCTCCATATAATGCCAGCATGCAGAAAGACGGGAAATGAAGCAGGAAGTGAACTGATTTTGCAGGGGTGTATGACTGTATCTACAGCAGATGAATAGAAAGCGATTTTCCAAGACAAATGCTAGCTGGACATCTCCTGAAACTCCCACGTTATAAACCCTGCTTGGGAATCTATGTGTGGCCATATGAAGACTCTGTGTCAGTGAAGGTGTTGTATGCAAGCAGGTGTTATCAGTGGGACTGTACACTTCTGAAAAGCAAGTGAGGAAGGAAATTGCATATTCCGTACAGGGGCCAGCACCAGGGCCATGAGAAATAAGCCRCAGCTTAATCACTCCAAACCTTTGCTGCACTAAAAAGGCAGCAAAGCACAAGCTTCAATACTATATATACWGGGACTACCTACAGAAGAATGAAGATCTCAAGTATTAATACATGACAGTATCTTAGGCAGAGATGAGAGATCATGCCCTTCATGTGCTTTCTCATAATACATACAAGACAGTTTAAAGTCATCTGTCACTGTAATTCAGTAGACAATGAGTTCAAGAGTTAAAAGAGAGGACTAAGATAGGGAATCACACACAGTTCACTCCCTGTTTTGTTCAATAAAAAGGAAAAAACCTAAGAGTGAATCACAGGCTAGTACGGAGACTAGGGTACAGGACTTGTTTGGTTTCCCAGCCAAATCTGGGTTCAATATCAGGCAGTCTCTATTGGATCTATTTATTTGTCAGCTGACATAACACCACATTATAAAGCACCTTAAGAAGAGGCTCTTTAAGAAAGGGAATTGGAAACTTACACACAAATCTTACAAAATGAAGGATTCTTTCAGAGACATGAAAAGAGAAGAAGGAAAAAAGCGTATGGAGAGAAAGTAGGGGATGGGCAGGCTTCTCCATTCATGCTTTTGATGGGATTCCCTGGAGTTCTGCATCTATGAGCAGGCTCATAACAAGGTATTAAAGCTGTCCCAGAGCACAGCTAGGCTTGCGTTTCTGTCATCATGGACTAACGCTGCATCACAACAGCAGCGTCACCTCGGCACAGTGGGAGCTGGCATTGGAAAAGGCAACTCAGACTTAGCACTGCTGAATGCTGAGCACTGGTGGGGGACAACAAAGGAGAGAGGGTACAGCCATTGCCCAGAAAGGACTACTGGGAAGTACTATCTGTTAAGAAAAATTCTCTTGAGATCACAGAGCCAGGGACAACAGCCTGAGAGTAAGGAAGAGCTTAGGTTATAACACCAGGAAAAGGTTCTTGGCTGTAAAAACAACTGAGATACAGCACAGTCCTCAGGGACATGTTCAGTCCTGTGTAGATTAGCTACAATATTATGGAAAGGTGGTAACAAAATCCTGCAGACACTGTGGGAGTGATAACCAAATGGTTTATTCTGGGCCGTATTTTTCAAAATCATTCATCATCCCTCTCCTCATCTCTACACAGCAGAACACACGTGAAAATAGTTTCTACCTAACACATGGCTAAGCACTACGGTAACAAGAGAGAGGAGACACCCATCTTCTTGCATTATCCCAGAAGCTACTAGCTTGAGAAGAATATACCAAGGAAAATGCCAAACCATTTTATTTAGGTTATCTCACCCTTTTCCCATGTTCCCCCTTTCTTGAGGATTCACTCTCTTAGCTTTGAAATGCTTAAAAGACAGAAATAGCAGCAGCGTGCAAATTCCTAGAGGGGATCTCTGGAAATTAGCAAAAGATAGCAGCTGAAAATGCTCTAATATGAAAAAACATGAGAGTAAACAAAAGAAATTAAAAAGAAAATATTTGTTTACCTCCACACTGAAGCAACCAAGGAAACAGGAAGATGACTTTTAGATTAGAGGCCATAATGGGGGTCAAAGGCTGTAAGAAAGCAACGAAACACAGATCCAAAAGGCAAAGGAGATGGGGGTTTGTCAGSTATTTTCACGCCCAGGCAGCTGGTTGATCCCCTCCAGTTTGCAAAGGGACAGGGGRGATGTACACACACACTGCATTTGGCAAGCAGTTCCGGGCAGACGCAAGCTCTTCTGCTTTTTGGTCAGACTCCTCCCCACACCAGGGTGGGTTGATTTCTCTGTACTATAATGATGGTGTTAGACCTACCAGCAGGTGTCCAAGATTAGACTGTAAGCACTTTAACACACAGAGCTTTGCCTCCTGATGACCATAAAATATTGCAGGCATTTAAAACTAACTTCACCACCTTCCAGTGACATGTCACCTTCCAGTGACATGAAAACGCAAGGGTGGAACCACCTGTTTTGCCTTCAACACAGAAAACCAGTATGCACATTAGTAGTCAGTACAGAGCAATGGCTCTACTGCACCCCTGACTCTACAAAATGTCCCTCCACAGCCAACTTCTCCACTAGGTCCCTTCAGAGGAAGGCACTCATATTCACAAAGTGAGGACAACCAGACAGCAATTCACCCCAAACAGCTGGGCTGTTTTCGATCTACACCATGCTGGCTCTGAATCAGCTTCGCAATGCAGGCAAGCTTTAAGTAATCTATTGTAGGCAAATCTGAGGAGAGCCCTTTGAAGAAGAAAAACCACGTTTTGTGGGAGGCTCCTGCCGCCTATACTCACAAAGAGTCTTTGATTTTCAACGAAAGCTTGTTTTTAGCTAAGACATCTGCAATGCAACAGCTGAACAGCATCTGACTCATAAAAACTCCCATGTCTGAGAGGTCTTCACTTCTCTCTAGGCAGCTTCCTCCTTTCTCACTTCTTGTAAGACAATTGCATAGTGACACTTGCTGCAACTTCAAGGGTGCCCACTCACACGGGGTACTGTGCTGCAGACTGGTGGGGTATGGCCACGTGGAGAAAGACCTAAGKCAGCAGATGAGCTTGTAAACTTCAYGTATTCAAAAGCACTATCAGTTGTTTTATCCCTCCAGACTTCGTAGGAACAAGGTTTATTCCAGACAACCTTTGGCTTACAGCATTTTCCCTCCTGCTCAKCCTGGGACAGGTCCCCAGGAGGAGGGGGTCTTGACACAGGGAGAGGCATGCAGCTGCGGCCACTGCAGCCCCCTGAGCMCAGGGACAGCTCCAGTACCTTGCTSAGAGCCCTGACAGATGGAGAGAGGAGCAAGTGGCTTTGTGTGGCTCTGCAAGGCTGGTACAGCAGCTGCACTCCTCCAGGGAAGGTTTAGCTCAGATTAGCCAAAATCAACTCCTCTCCCAAAGACACACTGATGTGAGCTGCASGAGGCTGGTCTCAGCTGGAAATCACTCCTCACAAGTCTTAATGCTGAGCAGCAAGGACAATCAAAAGCAGTAACAAGACACTTGGGGCCTWCTTGCTATTTCAGATATCGAGGCACAGATCAGGCAGCTGTGGCTCTGGGGTCACAACAGTGTTTGTATGCATTTCTCAGGCCTGAGCGGTATCTCAAGGTACCAGGGAGGGACAGGGAGATAGAAGGAAGCAGAGGCTCACTACCCTCCTGTGGAAGAACTTTGCTGAACAATGAGGGCTTCCTCTGCTCTTATATCACGCTCATCCCCATGGTAGCACACAGCTTTGCAATTTCCAGCACTGATGTATTTCTGGAGGACAGAACATGCTGCTCCTGCCAGTGATGTGTTTTAACTGTTATCAGCATTTATCTGCTTCAGGAATTCAGAGTGATAAGTGGATTAAGTGCGGTAGGTTTGTAGGGCTGTTAGGTCAACATCGTCCATCTGTCCTTTCTGTTTTYTTCCTATAAACAACACTTGCCACTCGAAATGCCAAGTCCTAGAAATATCACTGTCTGGAATAATAAAAAAAAAAATCTAGCGTTTCAAGAAAGATCACACGTAAAACTCAGCTGTGGGATTAAAGGCACAGCCAGGCCAGGAATACATTCACTGCTGGGATTTGCTATGGTAGAGCTCACTGAAAAGAAATGGCTTTGAAACGACTACCCAGCAGCTATTAACTGTGAGACAGGATGACATTCTGTTCCTTAGAGCCTAAAGGGAGCCTGAATCTTTGAATGTTAAATTCTAATTCAATTTGGTCTGGGGATTCTGAACTGAGTTTTAACCCTGGAGACATAAATGGGGGGAAGATGAGGAAAAGCTGCGGAGTTGCTATTACCARCCTGTAGCAGGACTGAACTCATCGCCCCAAAACTTAGGGGGAACTAACCAGGATACCTGTGTCAAAGGAAATAAATTACAAAGCTCCAAAGGAACAGGTCAATGTATGACCTTCACTCATGCATTACACAGTACACTGGTGCATGTGAGCCAGTCCCTGCAGCATGATGAGGAGGAAACTGCCTGGCCAGTTGTAACCCCACTGCAGCACTGACTGGTCAGGATCCATATGGCTTGGTCTTTCCTTTGATGCAGCGAATGCTGAYATGTCCTGAAACTAAATACAGGATTGGGGTAAATTCACGCTGGTTTCTGACTGTAACTGGCAAATGGCTATTAATTTCACTCAAGCATTTTTAAAAGCCCACAACAGTGGCCAGCATTCCCAAAAGTGAGGAAAAGCTCATTGTTCTGGCACACACGAACGACCAGTTTGGGCAAGCGCTGCGCCTACCAGAAGAGCCTGTTCACAGCGGTGTTCAATGGACATGCACAAGTAAAGGCGCACACACGCATGCCCACACATGCTCCTAAAGCCAACTCCGGGGAAAGCATTAATTCAACAAAAAGACTGCTGCTAGCCAAGGCAAAAGCAATGCTGCAGAGACCACAACAAAGCCTCTATTGCTGAAGCGTTTAACACCACAGCCATCCAAAAGAGAAATACCACTTGGCGCACAGAAGAGCTGCAGCAACTCAACGAGCCTGATTGCACAGAGCCTATCAGCGCAATCTCCAGCATGGCAGCTCCGGATTTGCTGCCTTGTCAGAGAGCAGCTCAAGCCCCTGTCGCTGGAAAGCCAGCCAGTGGCAACACATGCACCTCTGAGGATTCACAATCTCTTTGACTTCTCTAACCCCAGACTCCGAGGTGTACAGTTTCCCTCTGTCTGGCGGCAGGAGCAATAGCAGAGCCAGCGTGAGCAGGGCCGTACCTCTGCCAGCATTTTTACCACTGTTATGTGTCAAGTGCCTCTCAGCAGGGCTGGATGATGCAGAGGCAAAAGCTGCCAATGCCCTCGCTACGTTCCTACCCATTGAACTGCTCTAGGGAAGAGAAACATCAGTGACTTGAGGGAAAAACAAAAAATTAGAGGTGTTGACACCACCGTGGGGAAGGGAGGGGCCACTTCACTAATTCCCTTTCACCGGCAAAACAAGTCTGCCTCAGAAACCACCTACTCCTGCGTCTTCTCTGTTCACCTGCTGGAAAGATTCCCAGGGACTAAGTCACCACCACAGGCCTGACGTGCTCTCAAGGCCGTGTCTCRGCCTCGCGGTGCTCCCAATCATCGTCCTCCATGAGCTCTCTGTGTGGTAAACTGCGGCCAGCGGGAATTCGCCTGGAGGGACAGCTCTGCCTGTTTAGGCTGACACCTTCCTGGAGAACATCCACCTGGGCGGGCTCGTGGCTGACGCGAGGCCAAGGCGGAGCGGGCCATGTCGGGTCCGCCTCAACCAGGGGCTTAAAGCTTCCCCGGGCAGCTCCCCCGCCCCGTGCGGGAAACAGAGCCGCTGAGGCGGCGACACCGAGTGCCCCTCCACCCCTGCCGCGATGGCGGGGCGGGGAGAGAGGGGCGGGGGCTGCTCCCGACGACCCGCGCCCTCGCCCACAAGATGGCGCCGCCGCCCYGGCCGCCCCCGCCCTCCTTCCCGCRCCGCCCACCCACCCTGGGCCCGGGGCACGGGGGAGCCGCAACCTTGGAGAAAACGAGCACAACTGGGATCCACTTAAGGCAGAATTAATGCTAATTAATCGTAATCAACAGCTCGRGGAACAAATTTACTCGGCAATCTGCAGATACTGCAGTCGCAGTTCGCCCGTCAGGCAGGAGCAGCAGAAGACGGGSTGTGGAAAAGGAAAACGAACCTGTCTGCCGTGGGTGTCACCCCTCCCCGCTGCGTTCTGCCCTCTCTGCTGCCGGAGGTCACTGTGCCCTCAGCAGCCCCGTGCACTCACCCCACACACACGTCTTGCCCCACCGCTGGACATTCCCCTCGCAGCCTCTATGGCACTGGCAGCCGAGTCACCGCTGAGGAGCAGCAGCCCCCAGCTGGGGGCAAAGCACAGGGAGCTACCAGCAGCACTGCCTGCAGCCCTGGCACCGTCTCCCCACTGACTCACAAGCCATCCCTCCTGTGCCGAAGGTGCTCTGGAAGCCCTTGTCAGTGCTAGTGAGGACAGTTTTATAATGAATGACAATTCTCAGCTTGCAGAGGCCTCTTGGCACCACGTGTGGGTGCTTCCCACCACTAGCAAAGCCCAGCTACCTATTTCATGCGATGACCAGTGATGCTGCACTAGTCAAGGCACTGGTAATAGTATTCTGCTTGCTGTGGTTGCCACAGCAGGGGCAGGCTCAAACGAATGTCCCCACAAACAGCCACACATTCACATACCTCCACAGCCCCCATGGGAGCATGGGTGCAGAAGTCACAGGCACWCAGCTTCCCACGGTCACAGGATGTGTCACTACCCCCACAGTGCCATGACCAAGCCAGCCCAAACTTTCTCACATTGGCAGCAAAAATTCTGGGGGTGGGATGATGGGCAGGAGGAGGGTATGCTGCCAGAAGTGCTCTCCTAAAACAGAAGTGCCTGAGCCCCTCCTTGCCAGCTGCATGCTGTGAGGTACATCATGCCCTGAAATTGTCCTGATGGGCTGTGCATCCCCTGTGTTGGGGCTGAAGGGTGGGAGGCAGGCAAGTTCGGCATGTGCTGGGTCCTGTGCAGGGCACACACAGGGAGGATCATGTTGGACAAGATAGCAGTTGCRAGGGAGCTGCAGGACTAGTCCCTGCCATCAGTGGCCCTGCCAGATGTCCCTTTTGGTCTTGTCTGTGCAGGAAAACTGTTTGGGCCTCAGCCCTGCTTCGAGCCAGCCAGCTGTGCCAACCCCTACCCCCTGCAGCCTGGCAGGCAACAGCTTTTTACTGCCCCCAGGTATCCCTGGTTGGCTCCTAATCTAAGCTCCTTCTCCCTGAGCTTGTTCAAGAAGTTGGTGCACTACCTTTCATCCAAACCACCTCATTCCCTTTCCCTACTCCTTCTCTCCCTTTTTCCTGGGTTTTGTTTTTTATTCCCTTTCCCTTTTAATGTCTTACCTACCTTTTTTTTTTTTTTTAATTAACTGGGACCCTTTCTTCAGCCTGCAGCAACTTTCCAGCTCAGAACATTGGGAAGTAGAACCAGCAGCACAGCTGCAGTGACCCTGGGAACCATCATGGACCCCTGCAGTGGACACTTGTGTGCAGTCACACCCCACTTTAGATTGGCACAGCTTTCCTCATGCACACCAGGCTTCTGCCAGCTCCCAGGAGGAAAGCTGGGAAAGGATTAAGTAGCTAAGTATCTAACTGGCAAATGCATATGTTGTTTTTTTCTTTCTATTAATTCCTCAACTTTGTTTTCATTGTGGACTGTGGAGAATATGCAAGCTRATACAGCTGTAATAGCACACCCTCCTAGAGTGGAAAAACATCTTTTTGCCACCAGGCCCTATTCTGGCTATGAAAACTAAAGAAAGGATCCTGGCAAAAGCATGTGCTGGAAGAACCACATCTCTGCTAGGATTTTTGCCAATAAAGAAATGTGTTTCATTCTGTCTTCCTTCCCCACCCCTGAATTTCCCACCTGCTGTCTACATTCCTGGCTGACASAACTACAGGACAAGAATCTGTAGTTTTGTCCTAATGCAAGAGAAACATCATTGGATTTTGTTTTTCAAACCCTTACAGAGCACTGAGTGCACTGGGAGCATCCAAGGCTGTTATAGGCCATAGGGAGACCTGAGAAGTGTTTTGTGAACCTCTCTGTGGACCTGGAGGCTGGGCACTGAGTCTGAACCCACTACAACCTCTCCAACGGAAGGGGTTCTCCTCTGCCTGGAAAGCCACGTGATGATAGATGTGGGTCCTACAGGAATGAGAAATGCAAAAAACCCTGGAGTACAAGAGGAAGCATATCCTGTCTGCATGGAGACACAAACCTTAGCAGGAACAAGTGCATGGAGGTGAGACTATATGGATACCATAGCAGGGTTCAGACCCCTTCTTCTGTAACTAATTATATTTCCACTTGTTCTTTATATAGATGTTTACACATACATGCATTCATATACATGTATCCACATTTTATATCAGCTCCTAATATTGCTGAGGTTTCCCTAAGGCAGCCCCTCTGTGTCCCCCCACAGCCCAAGCAGCCATGCTGAGACTCTCTACCACAGCCTGGCCAATGGTTTCTCCTGCAGACCACTCTCTCCTGACTCTGTACACTGTGGGGAGATCCTTCCCCACCCCAGTGCTGCTTCTTTTATTATTTCTGCCCAGCTGTGGTTTATAAGTTGTTTAAATCTTTTCTAGGAACAGATAGAGATCACAGTTACCCAGAATCCAAAAACGCAGACAGCTTGAAATGTGGTTAGACTCTGCCCTACTTTCATTGAGTTGAGAGCAAGGCTCTGCCAAGATGCTCAGGGGAGATGAGAAGACCCATTTCAGCAAACCACTCCTTCCTCCAAGCCCAACAAACCTAACCTGACCCCTTCCAAGCCTGCTGCATCAGTTCCAACTGCATCGCCTCTCCTCTTGGTTTGCCCGGGACTTGTAGGTGAGCAGGGCACAGAGACATGGAGCCTGGGAAAGATGCTCCCGCACTGCAACAGTGCACAGGCATGACACAGGCACAGGCATGTCCCCAAGCTGAGAAAAGTGCAAGGGATTCCCTGAATCATGGCCAYGAAGAGGGCAACACAGGGTGTGCTGCAGATTGAGAACGAGATRTGTTGGTAGAGTTTTACTGTCCACACGCTCACCGACAGCTTTTCCCCACAGCAAGTTGTTCCCTAAGCTGTGGGAGCTGCTGAAGCGGAAGTGCTGCCTGGGACTTCCCTCCCGTGAGAAATCCCCTCCCTGGGAWATCTACACTGTCTTTCAGAGCTGCTGTGGGACTGTGCCTCCAAGGTGAGCTGGCTCCCTTGCACTGCCAGGCTCCTCTTATGGTAGTATTTCCAGGGATCTGCAGTTATCTGGAAAGGGATACTAAATAAATGCCAGGAAGCTTTTTTCCTTCTCTTGAGTGGTGCCTGCCCACAGGACCAACCTGCAGACAAGGATGTATGCTCCCTGCACCCGTTTTGCCTGTGGTCTGATTCTGATAACCCTGGGGTTTTCTCACAAGCACTGGTATTCACAGGCGACAGGACTTGGGCAGGGAAGAACAGCTTGCAGATACATAGCTCCAGCTCTATGACTTTCTCCAAAGTAAAGAATCTTTGCTGAGTGATTCCACTGTATTCCACGTGGAATTTATGGAGCAGTACATAGACAAGCCACCTGCACCCACTAATATTTCAAGGGTATTACTTAACCCTGCTTGGAAGGGCTTGTACCAAGGCAAGGATCAGAGCAGCACTGGGGTATTTATGCTAGTGCTCTCATTAATGGTAGCAACAGTGAGATGTTTCAGGAGAAGGGCTTGCTGCAGTCAAGGCCATAAAGAGATGCTAAAGGTTTCATCTGAAAAAATATCCAAGATCTTTATAGTATTTATTAACACCATTTACAAGGGCTGACTTGAACGGCCTTGGAAGGAAGAATGAAAAAATGCCAGCAAACACATTAGGATCTCCTGCAAGAAGTTTTTTCATCCTATTGAAAAGCTTTGTTAAAAAGAATGATGAGAATGGTAATAACAAGGCACTATAATTATACCTGATCCTTCTATAATCTCTGTCTCTGCAGAGTTCGGGAGCACTTTACTGCTATTATTGGATTTGAACATTCCCATCTGGATAACATACGACTGATTTGTTTGCATGGCTTATTTTAGGTATCTCAGCACGTACATTAGAGTTGCCTTCATATCTGGCTGATTCCCTGCAGTCTGGAAAAGCAGAAAAAGATCTGCAGCTTGTGCTCTCCACCACCATTCTGTTCTCCTATTCCAGTGCCTTGGAGAGTTCCTTACAGAAGACCAAGGACAAAAGGAACCTTCCTAAGTACTGCAGAATGTACAAYGGTAGTGCTGAAGCACTTAGAACATGGAGGCTGGATACTACAAAGAACATCTGGATTTGCACCTGTATTATTCTAGGCTTGAGATTCCATGGATCCTAAAACAGCTCTAGATACATTGAAAGTTTAGCAGCAAGGACTTGTCAAATACCTGGTGCTCTGTGATCTGAATAGCTGCTACATGAGTCTTTTAAACAAGGGGGTGAACTGCATGTTCCCCAGAAGGCACAGAACAAGGGGAAGCTGGTGAAAGGTGCTCACGTCTGTCCAGATTTAGCATTACTTGCAACACCATCTCAGTTACAGAGATGACGAGCTCTCCCTACAGCTCCTAATCCCCATGTCATTAAATGAGCGACCATCAATGTCACAAACTTTGCTGTTCTCTTACTGGAGCTCTTGAGTGTGAACCCGGGCATTTGCTACTTCACTCTGCCAAGGCCAGGGGAAAYGAGACATAATGGAAAATAATTCAGCCTATGCTTCAAAACCCTACACAGAAATGAGATTTTAAAAAAAAATATTAAAAGTACAATACAAAAACTATGGTTTACATTACTTGAGTAGTTTTCAGTCTGAAATTCACAGCAATTTGTCACTAGCTTGCAGTTCAGGGAGGGAATGTCCCTTTCAGACTCAATCACCATAAAACAAGCACAAGTTGCCTGATTCTTTTGTTGCTCTCACTGCTTTTTAGGGATTTTTTTTTTCTCCTGTGAACTGAAAAAGGGTTTTCTGCTGCATATCTTGCACATCTCGCCTGGCCTCGTTCAGATGGGGTTTCAAGTGTCTGCCCATCCCTAAGGCTGTGGGACATCTTGTTGAGGAGTTTAAGAGGATCCATTAGCCCTGTCTAGTTTTCCCCTACTTAWTTTTTGGAATATTATATCCAGTCTCCTCACTTTCATTCTATTAGATTCTTCAGAGCAGTCTCTGAATTTGTTTACTTCTAGTTTATTTTTAAAAGACAAACCCCCAATGGACATAAGCTCTCAAGTCCCTTTTGAAAATGCTGTCTTGTCTGTAAGTGCTTTGTTTGTGATCCTCTCCAATCCTTTAGGCTATTGTTTACAAGATGGAAGGCATCTGCACTTGGGTTAATCATGCCGAATGCCAGCAATTCCCCCAGCATGATTTGTTGCACAAGCCAGTGGGAGCAGGGTTTGTTTTGATTACGTTTAGTGTGGAAAACCCACATTTTGCTCACATCAGCCTGACAAAATAGGGAGGCCTAATCCAAAACATTCAGAGGGGAACCATAATCTGCTCACTGATTTCAGTGGCATCAGGGACCAGCTCAAAGGTTGAGAGCTCTGATGGCAAGGGTGGTGTCTTGGGAAAGAAGGTAGCCCAGGAGGCAAAAATCTTTTTGAAAGAGTATGCATGTCATTTGTTCTGGGATGGATGAACCAAAGACGCAGGGGACTGCCAGTACTATGCTTCTTAAAGCTCTGCAGCTCCTTTCTGACGTGCAGTTAGGCTGGGACTCCCTAGCTCTGCCCCAACCAGCCGTCACCTCAGGCTGATGCTGGCCTCCCCCAGTGCCCTCAGCTGACAAGTCAGGCTCTTTCCCTCATTCAGAATGATGGCGATGTTTTTATCCTCAGCCTGTGCTGACGCTTGCCTCCGGGCATCAGATGGGTGTCCCAATTTTTCTGCTTTTGAAAGCTGGGAAGAAGTGCCTGAGGGCTGCTCCCTTTGGGGCTGCCATCGAACTGCTGGGGCATGCAACTGCACTGCAGGGGTGGGTGTACAGGTCTGCCAGGTGCAGACTCCCTCTGTCTCCAGAGGCCCAGCACAGGTTCTGGAGCTCAGCACAGCTGTCCCTCACTGAGCCGCTGGCTCAGCTGGCCTGGGCTGCACCCTGTGCTGCTGAGCTCAGAGGTCTGCAAAACAAAGCACAGAACTCAAAGTTGCGCCTGGATCCTGGGTCTCCCCTATTTCCCAACCTGCTTTTCCTCCTCCAGAGCTGCTCCATCAATCACCATTAATCTCTTGTACTTATATAGAGGTTACCCTCGCTGGTGGCCTGTGGCAGAGATTTCCAGAGCTTAAGCTACTACACATCACATGAAGAAATGTCTCCTTTTGAGTCTTGCACTTGAGTATTTCATCAGACACCTCCCTGTATTTTTAAGAAAATACTTGGTCACCTACTCCATGGCATATAGGCTTTACAGATCTCTGCTGCAGACTTCAGCSATCTCTTTTCTGGCTGAAGAGACCTACTATTGAGCCAGCCCTTGCATGGRAAGCATTTGGAAGTACTTTGCTTTGCCTGAATCAAAACCCCAGCCCTGACAGCCCCAGCTGAGATCAGAAGGCAGCAGGAGCCTGCCAAGACCCAGGCAGCTCTGCAGGGAGGCATCAGGAGTTTCAGAGTGACTCTGCCACATTCCCTCTCCCTTTGACACCTGCTTTCTCTCTGAAGGCTGCCCTCAGTAGCCCGGCCTTTGCACTAGGGAATGGCTCAGGGCAGGCAGAAAGCTCCAATGCATGCAGTTATTAYAACTGTACAGATGCCAAACATCTGAAGAATTGGGGCAAAATGAACTCAATCAGACAAAGCCATCACATTCCCTTAACCAAGGTATGTTGTAAATTAAGGGGCTCAGCACGCTTAAAGACTAATGACACAAATACACATTGTCAGAGGGACATCAGGTTAAGGGTCAAAACTAAGATCTAGCTGTGTGTACACAGGCTTTTTTTTGAAGCTTGACTACCTAAGAATTCATTTCCCAATCACTGAGGATGGCCAAATGTTTGTACATTTTTAAAGTGTTTTTACACAAACTTGTGTCTTCTGGTGAATCCTGATCCCTAATGACATACAGACCCTCATTTCAGAGGTAATCAAGTATTATTACAAGAACTGCTGGCTGTGGGGCCCCTCCTGAGCACACACATCAGTACATATGGAAGTTATTAGCAGTACCAGTGAAGAATTTTGGGAAATTAACCCTTGGGTAGTGCAGAGCACTACCAACAGACAGCTAGYTGGGAGCAGACAAAGAGCCGTTTCCTGCTGGATGCCTGCAGCATGCTGGGACTGAAATCCAGACCCTTCACAGCATGGTAGAGGAAGCCCCTCTCACAAGCACTAAACTTTTCAACCTCTGCTATTGGGAAGAACACTTGAAAAAAACCATCTGCAAGGCTGTGTAAGTTTCCTCGACAAACTGAAATGAGTCAGCTGGAGAAATGTATAACATAACATATAAAAATGCAAACAATTTTCTTCTATTCCCCAAATGGTGCTCAAGAGGTTGTGAGGAAGTTTGCAATTTCTTTCTAAGTCCCCTTAGGAGCCACCAAAAGAAACATTTGGATACGGACCACCAAGAGCTACTCTTACGTGRCAGAGGGACCGGTTCAGAAGCAAGGCCATTAAAGGGAACATCTCCCACTCTAATGAAAGCAGCAGAATAGTGTTTGCCATCACCCCACGGAAGTAAATTCTTATGGTTTTGCTTTGTACACCTTTTTTTCTCAAAAGCTGAAAGAAAAAGGTTTCTCTTCCAACATCCAAGCAGAGAATGAAGGACTCCCAACACTTGCCTCAGCCAATGCACTTTCCACTTTCCTGTTCTTTCTGCATTGATTTCCTTTCTTGCACCAATCCTGAGCTGCAAAGTGACCTCTCCTTGGGAATAATGAGGATACTCACATATRATGTGTTTTCAACTTCCACAATATAACAATGCTTGGCAGTAATTCCATGCTTTTCATCCACAGATCTCAAATCAATTCGCTGCAGCCCTGCATGGAATTGACTTACTTGTAAGACTGAGACAAATGCTTGCTGTGCAATTAAAAAAAAAAAAAAAAAAAAGCACAGAATAAAGTAGACTTTATTAAAATCCAAACTATTTCCTTCTCCCATGGTGTGATTTTCCTAAAGTGCAATCCAGGCCTCAAATAGGGCTCTCCTGCAGCCCCCAGCCATACAACCCAAGATGCTCATTTGTGGCCAAATGAGAACAGTTCACAGCCAGGTCAGAGCAATACGGGTRGAAAGCTCTTCCCTCAGTGAGACATAACCGTGGCCAGAAAACAGAAGCATTCCTGTGCTCAGTTCTAAACRTGGAAGAAATTAGACTGCTCCTCCCCACCACACCCCCCACTTTCTGCAGGGAAGGCAGGAAGTCAGCCAAGGCACCTCAGCAGACACCCTGAAAAAAGAAAATAATCGAGGGAATGAACATGATGCCTGGGGCAGCAGATCCAGTCCCACTCCTCCGTGGCAGAGAGGAAGGGCAGCTGTGTGGCTGACCCTGCCTAGGCAGGGGCTTCACCTAAGAGCCAGGGGCCAGTCCCAGAGGTGCCCAGAGCCACCTGAAATGCTGGCAGCAAGCAACACTACACCCACACATCAGCTACTACAGGACATGCAAACCCTGCAGAAATTAGTAATTCCAGCTCCTGCTTTTGTGCTGGGCTGAGAGATGCAGGAGCTGCACGGCCACCACACTTACTCTGGCCCCCATGCAGCTGGGAGGAGCGGGCAGCAAGGACAAGATCACCACTTCCCTGACACTTATTTAACTACCTTGGTTCATAAGCCAATGCCCTGAGACAYGTGGCCAGGCACCTCACCACCAGCAGTGCAACAGAGCCCTCCAGAGAGTAATTCTGAGTGTCTAAGTTGGGCTCCTGTGATGAATCACAGCCTGTATCTCACTCTCTGTGCTGACCACACACTTTGGTTCCTCAGATAAGACACCTGAAGAAAATAGAGCAAATTCAATGTACTCTCCTCCCGTGTTCAGCTTTTTTCTCTTGTACAGGTGTGAAGTGGAAAGTCCGCTTGAGCTCAGAAGGCTGCCTGCCCAGCTATGGCTGTTTAGCAGCATGCAAAATRGTTTGGTTCAAATTTCACAGTATCTGAATTTCTCCTTTCATGTGGTTGTTTTCAATCACTTATTTTGAAGACATCATACCTGACTATCCCTGAAATGAACCATAACCCTATTTAAGTCAGCTCTGTTCCTCCCATTTGTACTTATCCTCACCAGTTCAAGTTCACTGATGATGTGCTCTGTTCCAAGGTCTTGAATTACTCAGCTTTTTTCAAACATTCAGTACAAATTTTAAGGTACTAAAAAAACTCCTTAAATATACAGGGRTGAGATTTTCAGAAGTATTCTCTGTTTAGAAAATTCTACAACTAATTACACTATAAGATGAATTACGTTTAATGTTCTCACCTAGGACCACTCATTTATGCTCAGCTTTTGTTCTTTATGAGAAATTCACTTGTCCAGTTTCAGCTCGATTGCCATGTCTCTGCACTAAACTAACTGGGCTTCCAACATTACAAGGAAATGAAGTTATCGCCATGTATTTGCTGACTTAAAAATCAATACAAAATTTTATTAAAATTTCAGAAATTTTATATTAAAAATTCTTTGCCTTTTCAGAGGCAAAACCAAAACATTTTCTGATGCTCAACAGATGGCAGCAGCACACTATCAGATGAGCTTAATCACCTCCTGAGAAAGGGTGCAGGATCCCATCTCTTTACATCCTCCCAGGGCAGATATGACTCTCCAGACCAGGGTTATCTCTACAGGAATGCCATGCCCTTAGTACAGCATAACCCATCTGCATGCCCAAAAATCCGATCAAATAAAGCAACGCAAAAGCCAGTGAAGCTGCAGATATCGTACACRGCTGCAATGGTTTCACTCCGGTGCAAACGCCGGCCTCTGATGTAACAGGCATCGCATTCGTGCTGCCAGGAGTGAAAAGTGCTCTTGCTCCACCACAGCTTCGTGAGTCAGCACAGGGTCATGCCCACCGATGTCCAAGCTGCTCTGCTGTGGGACTGAACTCAGCTGCACCACTTCACAAGGGCAGATTTGAACCAGAAAGGAGCTCAGGCACTTTGGGGTAGAAAAAAMCACAGGGCTGACCTGGGAAGACAGGCACCTCACCTTCTTCTGAAGCTTTWAAGTTACAAATGGAGCAATGAGCAGGACTTGGTGATGGTGGAAATGTCTGCTCTTCATGTTCAGCTTTACCCCAGGCATCTCTGGGGAAAGTCACACATGCTGCTTATGTATGAGGACGCACCTGTCACAGCCATTCAAGCTGTGGTTCAAGCTCTTCCTCTCCCAGCAGCCAGTCCAGCCTCACTGGTGTGGCACACATCCCACCAGCACAGCCATAAAAGAGGCAGCTCCCATATGAATGGCATCATCTCCCAGCCCAGGACAGAGAGGGGCTGGGGACAACACTCCCTTCTGACCCTCCCCTTCTGTCCAGGAGTGAGAACACCTCTTCCCCCAGACACATCCCCAAGGAGCCCCCCAGCCCTGCTCTRTCCCTTGTCATGGCATCAGCAGGGAGGCTACGGCAGCACAGTTCTCGCAGCGTGGGCACTGCACGGCGGCTCCGGCACAGGGGCTCAGAGAAGACCAGGGGAGTTCCCCCCATCTCGTCAAAGTGCAAGGGGTTGTTCCGGGTCCCTGCCACCACCAGCTCCAACAGCCGTACCACACAGTCTGAAAACCAGTTCTTGAGGCGGAAATAGCCCTCCTGGAAAGAGATTCGAAGGCTGATGGGCCCAGCAGGCATCCGCACGCTCAGGCTGAACAAGCAGTTCCCCTGCGAGCTGTCTCGTACCAAGTAGGTGCCCACAGGCTCCCGCTGGAGCTTGGCGTGAGCCTCCCCCACAGACAAGGGGCCCCAGTAGAAGTCACTGGCCTGAAGGATATTGAGGGATCGCTCCAGCACTTCCCACTCGCAGCTRCGAAACATCCGGAAACGATCGGGCAAGCCGGGTGGCGCAGGGCTGGGGAGAATGCTTCGATGCTGCCTTTGCAGACGAGAAACAGTGGTGTGCGTGTTGTGCAGATCATCTGGCCTCCCTCTGATCATCTCTCAAAGAGCCCATGAATCCTGGAAAGATGCTGCCTTTACCATGCTTCCTCCTTTGCATCCAGCCTGTGGGACAGAAGGAAAGTGAGGCAAACCCAATACCTTCTTCAATCCAGGCAAGTGAAAACACTTCCCRAGGAAGAAAGACCAGCAAAAGTACCAAAGAGGGTCTGAAGGAGCTATTGCATGCCACCAACCCCCAGCTGTAGGGACAACCAAGGATATATGTGCAGAAAGGGCTCCAGCTGGATCCCCACCAGCACAAGGTGACACCTTAAAGAGCTCTGCAYCCATTGGGTTTCTGTGATTCAGAGCGAGGGCTCCTGCACACCCTCCAGCAGGCTAATGTGAATTTAGCAGATCTCAAGATTTCCCCTTGTTGGATGTTTGGGACTCTTCAGAGTGGCCTTGAGACTGGAAAGGGGAAATTACACCACAAATCAAAAGGGAAAAATTTCCCAAAGTGGGAAAGTCTCATTTACATTGTCATTCAGTGAAAAGTAGAAAGGTTTCCTTGCACCTCTCCAACCCTTTCCCCAACCAAAAGATTGACAACAGGACTCAGCAAAAGCAGAAGGCAGGGATAAACCTTTCTCACCAAATCCCAGAAACCACTCCCTCATCCCAAGACATGCCTGTTTCACTATGCCAGGAGAAAGCAAAGGTCTCAGATCAAGACCCCTTAAAAAAATGTTACATCAACTTCAAGGCTGGAACTACCACGAATGAGCTCACTTAACACTGGTACCAGATACTGCTGATGCCCTTCCACACTCTTAATTTCTGTTTCTTCCAGAAGGACAACTCCCCCTGCCTGCAGACAATGCTGCCCTCTCCCAGTCACCATCCTCTAATGTACTGTCATGACCCTGCTCATCTCCTGCACCTTGATATCACCATGCTGTCTGTTTTCAAAAATGCAAATTTCTGATCCCAATGTTGCCATCAGCCATTCAAGTCACTTCAATTATATTAAAAAATACATATTCTAGATCTGTGCGTGTATAGGCACAAACATAAAAACCACAGCCTTAAGCCAGAGGTTCATTCTGTGTGAGAAGCTGAGCTGTAACACACCACTTCCCCAGGCCTGACAAGTCAGTAGCTCGCTGCCAAACGCTGCCCTCAGTCCCTTGACATAGTCCATTAACCCAGTCATACTTGCTCACAGCACAGCCATGCTTGGAGCAGAACAGAGTGCTGGCACAGCCTGCAGCAGAGGAGGAGSCATACTTCATCTCCAGCACTCCCCCCCATTACAGACTTGCCAGAGCATCAGGGCTCATATCAGCCAGGCAGCCCCTCAGGGAATGTGCAGGGACTCRTGGAGGGCTGGCTCCGCAGGGAGAGCTTTATGTTAAGCTTAGSTCTTTGCAAAGCTCCCCTGCCTTGCACCCTTTGCCAGCTACTCAAAARCCTTGCGCTCCTTTTGGTGCTCGTGCCAGCTGGGTGACCGCGCATACTCGGCACCCAGGGAGAGGACAAACATCTTTCCTTCACACAGGCACAGTACTTTGGGAAAGGAGGCATGTGCCTGGCAATGCCTTACTACAGACATCTTTTCTAGTCTAACATCTCTCTCAATACTTAACAGTAATTCCAATCATGTAGCTGCCAGGCACATTTCATATATGGAACCATAAGCACCCTTTCCAAGAGCAGCCTGGGAATCTTCTCCAGCTTGCAGCCCAGTGACTTGCAGTCCACAAGCCACTAATGTCCCTGGTACTGCTCTGAATGCTCCTGATTCTGCCTTTTAGCTAGCGTCATAGTGGGAGGGGAATTCCATGCTTAGAGAAAGGTGGGAGGGGTAGGAAGGAGTTAATCAAGTTGGGTTTTTTCTTTTCCATTAAAAAAAAAGGTAGCAGTTGAAAGTTTCTCAGACCATTCAGCAAGTCAGAATAAATCTTAGGTGAAGGTGGTTTAGTGAGCAGTATGCAAACAAACACAGTCACCACTACAGCAACTAAGGCCATCTATCACCACGGAAAATTCAGCAGAGAAGGCACCACAAGGAGTTGTCCCTTTCCTTCTCTTCTGCTGGGCAAGGAAGCTTTAGGGCCCTCTGACATTAGTTCCTATAGAAAATGAAGGTGCCAGATGCCTCCAGGGTTGTGGCTATAGCTTCGAGAGGAGCAAGAAAGAGCCTTCCTAAACAGCAACTTCTCTTGGGTCCAAATGGAAATTTTGCCAGTTTCAAAGGGTCSAGGTTGGAAAATGAATTCAAGTAGTAAAACAGTTTTTAAAATAACAACAAATATACAATTTGTTTAAGGCTGCAGATGCTATTTGACAGAAAAACCACCCAAACTGGTTTGTCCCAGTTTTCAACCTTGAGTCATTCACCCAAGTCCTTCAAAAAAATCCACTGCTACAAGAAATCTGACTAAGAACTGAGACTGTMATGGTTTCAAATTCAAAGTAAATGCAAAAATAGCACCTTGACAATTTGTTCACTTGGTTTGAAATCTACATATGGGTCAGAGCCTCAGATGGGGAGAATTTGTTTAGCTTTGTTGACCCATTTCCAAGAGATAAGTGCCCAGCATGCAGCGCAGCATTAGTTACATTAGCCCCAGAAGTGCTTCCTGATACTACCTTTAAGGTTCACTTTTAATGAGTCAACAGGTCTATGCTGTATATGGTCTCCCACACCAAGGAGGATGTGCAGACCCAGGATTAGGAATAAGTCAAGCCAAGGATGTAATAAAACACACTTGCATAGTAAGTATTGCTGCCTTGCCACACCACGATTTGCTTTCCCTCTTCTCCTCTCCAAAAAAGCCCAAAAAACCCAATGCCCAAACAAGTTACTACCTCCCTAGTGCAAGTCAGAACAGTGCTTGCAGCCAAAGCAACATACCCTAAAAAGCTGGTGTCCCTCTAATTAAAAGGCTGGATAAGTTTCCCGAGAACTGATTTACTAGTTCAAGAGCTTTTCAAAATAAGTGCTCTTGACACAGGGCATTCTGTTTTCCTCCTCACTCACAACCCAGGCAAGACAGTGCATTTTACATAAGGAGACAATTCTAGTAAAACAGGGGACAGTGCACAGCACGTGGTATCAGCCAAGCCAGCCCTGCACCCCAGGGGCCTGACAAATCTGGCAAGCTCAACAGCAGCCTCAAGAACTTAGCTATGATGCATCCTTGCACTCTTTTTCCAGGACACTTGAAAAAGCTTACCTCTTTGTCTCTGCCACCCATAGGGATGAGTTTCTGGATGTCAGGCCTGAAAGTGGTCCAAATTCAAAAGCTCCGATACAGCATTTCCCAGTTTTTGCACAGCTTTCCTTAAGAGCAGATCCATCCTTTGAAAAGAAAGAGACATCCATCAGGCAAGTGACTAAGCCCATTAGTTGCTGCAATGTGGATCTAAAATACAACAAATCTGGAGACAGGTTGTTTCTCTCGATCTCTTTGATCTGTGCTACTGTAGAAGCACGTATACAGCACTTCAGATAGCAACAGAGACAGCACGTTTTATTGCTGTTGTTGTTATTATTATTGSTATKTACAAAGCTGTGAGCTGATTAGGTCCAGGCAGCTCACAGGTGGCCTAAGGACAAATGGAAAGACCATAAAGTTGCCATCATCTTACGGAAGCAGGAACCATAAAACTCAAATGTTAAGAGATGGTGGCAACAGGAATAAATRTAAGGATTCAAACCAGCAAACTCCAACTTGAGCTGAATACAAAAGACAACATTTAGAGTATCTTATTTGATGTCATGTACATAACCATTCACTGCTGACTTATCCCACCTGTAACACACTCCATTCTGGCCCACACTCTTCTGCCCTGCTTCCCCAGCTCTCAAGACTTTTCCTTCTCMTCTTGCAGATTGAAAACTAAACCCACTGACCTGGTGTAGCAGCAGACCACCATGTGTGCAATCATGTGTCTGTCAGTGGATCCACCAGCAAGCTGAAAAAACAATCCCAGCTTTCTGCACGCCTTTTTCAGAGACAGTCCCTGCATGGCTTCACTTGCATCCACATAACATAACTTCACTACATCCTCCCCAGCCCAGTCCAAACTGGGCACACACCCCACAAGCCACACTGACTTGCAGCTAGCAAACCTGCATGTCTATCCCATTATCACACTTTCTCATTAACACTCCATTTGGCTTAACCATCTCCCAAATATCAAGCCAACAGTTCCCAGAGMAGTTAGATGGAGGCTGGGATAATTAGGAAAAGCTCTCCCTGAAGTACCCTTCAAGCCCTTGCAATAGCTTCCCTACTCCRGCAGCAAAGCCTGAGCAGACATCTCCCTTTTGCACGTCTCCATCCCACAGAAATGCACTGCCTACTGATTTGTGGCTGGGGAGGCTGTTTCAAAGGAAAGCTTGAGCAAAGAGCTGGAAGAAACCTCCCTAGTAAGAGCCAATTATGCAGCACTGGGTTTTAATGGCAGGCCAGCCTGGTTCCCATGGCTGCCACCRGCTGCCACACACTGGCACTGGTTTGAACCACACCATCACCACCACGGCACATGGTCACACCAATGCCCCTTGTCATGAGCACCCTGCCACAGCCAAGGTGACCGGGGCTGATCCAGAAGGGGATCACAGAGGGAGAAGGGAAAGGAGATGCACAGACAGACGTGCCAAAGAGCACAGAGAGAGCTGTGGTTAGGGAAAGAATGTGGTCCAGCTCAGTTAAGAGGACCAATGTTAATCACAGCCAATTTCTCCAGCACAAAGCAGGCCTCAGAGACATTGCAGCTCCCTCTATCTTTTATGCCATGGCAGTTTGATGTGAGGCTGCCATTATGTCTGACACATAAGGGAATAAGTGGATAAAAAAACACACCACACATATATAAACCAAACYAAAACTTCATTTCCCTATACAACCAACATTCAAGAATGCAATATTTAATAAAATAAGCTGAAGCAGCACACACACTGTGGCAGTTCCTACTTCACACAGTACAGATGGTGCAGGAAGATCCTGCATGTAGACTCTGGGAATCAGCAGCTGGACATCTTGCAAGAGGACTTGTCTTATCAAACACTTCCCAACATTTCGGGGCTGAAGAACATACTTCAAAACCCACAAATAACTTTTCATGGATCTAATATTCATGTTTTGTACTTCTTATCATATTTTTCTATGACGTGTGTTTTCTGAAYTAATATGGCACTTTGCTGATATAGGCTAAAAGGTTTTTACTCCAGGAAAACCAACAAGACAGTGTATTATGTGCCAAATAGTCTTCCAGACAGAGAAATCTACAAGTGTGTTTGGTTTCTCCATAATCCAACAAGGTGGTAGTTTACAAGGAAAGAAAATTCTGGGATAATTGCCTCTACTGGGATAACTAAAAGAGCTGGAAGACACCCATTTTCAGAGTCCCCTCCTCATACTTTGGAAATACTAGACACTTCCAGGAATACTTTTAAGTAAAAAAGCCTATCCCTCATTGAAATAGCCCAAGGTGAATTAGTAATCCTGAGAACAGACAAGCCTCACTTCCCTGTACTCAGAGGCTGCTCTGCAGTAGCCACAAGCAACTATAGCTTGCTCCACAGCAAGTAAAACTACCAAAACTACCATCTGACTTCTGGCAAAGAAGACAGCTCCTACTGTAGACTGAATGCCTTCTGCTGTAACTGGGGAAACAAGAATTTTTAGAAAAACAACCTTAGGAAAAGGAAATCAGGAGGGGTTAGTACTAAGTTCCAAAGCTGCAGCTGAGCCTATCCTGCCATGGCTTAAGCAAAGAGAATTGTTGCTTGCCTCTGGCCAACAGCATTTTTGGTAAGTGAGGGAAGCCCAATCACATTGCTCCTGACCTTTGCAGTTTCACAGCGAGCAGCCATTCCTGTGAATATCAGTGCTGCAGAGCTACATGAAACCTCAGCCCTGTGCTCGGCCAGGGAACAAAGAATCCGTGCTGTTGCCTTGTCTTCCCTCCCTACACACAACACGTCAGCTTGGGAAGCAGCCCTCTGGAAAGGTGGCTGGAGTTCTCCCCAGTTTGGGGGCAGAAACAAGGAAATGGAGAAAGGGCACGATGAGGAAGAAAAAGAGAAAGAGAAGCCAAGATAAAAGCAGTCCCTCATGTCTCCCTACTTGAAATGCTCTGTGCMATGTCCATGCCAAGGGGGAGATCAGTGGGAAGGGGGTAGCAATGCCCAGGGCTGCCTCCACCCATCACTGCTCCTCASTGTTGCCAGCTCCCCTCACCCCCAGAGCAGCAGCACAGGTACATTTCCTCTGTTCCAGCCTCTCTCAGTTAAACTGACTTATTTCACTTGTTCCAAGAACCCTGTTTGAGGAAATGAGTAAATCCCGAGACACAAAGGCCATCAGTGGTCCCTGTGATGGCCATGGCTTGTTATCAAAGCCATCACATTGAGCCAGAAAGGAATTCAAAGCAGCACCTAACTCTGAGAAATAAGCAGCTTCTGCAGCTAAAACTGATTCACTCTGCTGACCAGGACTATGCTGTCAGAGAAKAGTCCCAGGTGAATAACCAGCATGAGCACAGCAGGACAGGAGAGACACCCTGCCTTGACTCTTCAGAAGGACCAGCTTTAAAAGATGTGAGGGGGCATTACACAGCACCAGTTACTGTACCTTCAGAGGAAAGGGCAAGGGTCAGAAAGCACAGACACACCACAACACTAAGATTTATAGTGGGGGATTTCCAACACACAAGATAAAGAAACTAGTCCTGAGAGTCAAAAAAAAAAAAAAAAAAAAAAAAAAAAAAAAAAAAGTCATGAAAGGTTATTTAGGAAATGAAATCTTAAAATGACAGAGCGTGCAGACCTCCCACAAATGATGGCACAGAGATGCTGCCTGGCTAAGAGGACAGGCTTGGGGGACAACACAGGTCACACTGCAGGTATTAGTTGTAGGTGCAACAACTTGCACGGGTCTCTGCCRGGTATCTGAGACCTCAAACACAGACAATACAAAACCACAGTCCCCRTCCAAATCTTTCTACAACCTCAACWGTCCTTCAGAAGATGAAAAAAATAATCCTAGAGGAGCCAATATAAAGGAATATAAATTACTGACAGTAGGGAACAAATTTATATGAGGATGGCTGTCATGAAACTGGGATGGTAGGTGGCCAAGATAAACAAAACAAAACCCAGGAAACATATGGCCTTTTCAGTTCATCAAAAAGAGAAAACCTCTGAGGGAATCATTTAGTTGAGTGGGATACCAGCGAGTGGGGACAGGGACACTACAGAAAAGCCACACAAGCAAGCAGATATTAATATTTTTCTTATACAGGATGTTGAGAAGATTCCCCAGTATTTAATGCTGGTTAACCTGAAGGGGAAAAAGDGGGTGCTCTATAAGAAGAGATGGGGAAAAGTGACATTAAAGCAGAAAGCCAGCTGGGCARGATGGACTATAGCCAGAGGTTTTGAATGGAAATGGATGGTTGAGATACAAAGAGAGGTGCTCTCTCAATCAAATCAGCTGCATTAAGAATTGCCAGAGGCCTGCAAGTATTGAAAAGAATTTATTTTGACATGTGCTGCTAAGGAAGGAGCAGCATAAGACTGGCTACCTGGTATGAGAGAGAGCCAAACCCCAGGCAGAGCTCCCCATCAGGCAGATGGTACCTGAAGAAGCAACAGATGACAGGACACACTTTGTGCTTCCCCAAAGCCTCCACACCAGAAGCAAGTCAAAAAGTGAGACACAGTACATGAGCTAAAGAGCTAGCAGCACCCCAGGACCTGTAAAGCAGATGGGCAGAAGACATGAAGCAGTCATGACACAGTGTGAATGGGAGGTGAAAGAGGGAGGCCAGAGGAAACCAAGGCATTTCAGCCCCTGCACATCGGGTCACCTCTGTGCCACCCTCCCAGCCACAGCATCTTCACCCTGATTCAACTSAACCCACTTTGCAGAGCATCGCTCCTCACTCCTCAACAGGTTGGTGGGTACAAGCAGCCCAAAGGCTCCCACAGCTCTTACGCAAGCAGCTCCTTCCCCCCTAACCGTGCAAACTCACTCACATGTTGACCCAGGTCTCTTCCTAGAATTGTCTCCCCCTGTCTTCAAGCTGCCATTACCCACAACWCCTCAAACCCCAAGGTCTAACCTTGTCCCACACTGGCATCTTACAGTCTCATGTTACTTAAACCTAGGCAGACAACTTGAAACGTGGCGAGCCCTCTCTATCACCTTCCCAGGGTAAACAGTGACAAAATCACTCTCTGCAGGACAGAGAAGTCAGAAGTCATTCAAAGAAGCAAGAAAGCAGYAGGAGGTCAGCCAAGACTCTGTCCTGACACATGCAAATGCACACAGGCTTGTAGGAAAACCAACTGGGTCTGTATTTTCAAGAGCAATAAATTAAGTGGTGCAGCTGACCAATGAGCTGAGTAACAGTGCTGAGGGTTCATTAATGAAAGYTCCAGCTCTGAATACAAAAGCAGTCATTAAAAACCAAGAGGCAAGCAGGAGCGTAAGGGTGTAAAATGGATGGGTGGGAACGCAACAGTAATTGTCACCACCTCAGCGAACACAGTCAGTTCTAGTCACCTGAAGTAAAAACACAGAGCTTAAGCAAGTAGGATAGGCCTAAAGATGGGTGATGAGAAGCAACACATAACTGTACAGAGAGAGACTGGAGAAATTTCATGCTCAGTTTAGAGAGCAGATATACATAGAAGGGGAAGCCAGAGAAAGATACAGTGCAATCACGACGTTCTTTTTGTGTTCTTTCAGAAATCAGATGAGAGGAAGTTCAAAGGTGACCAAGATGAAAAGTAACTAATTTTAAAACTCATAAAAGGGAAAACTCCAATCATATAGACATTAAATGCTGTTTCTGGGGAAAGTGAGAGAGCTGCTCTGTCTCTGCTCTCTCAAATGCCTTTACTTTGTTTCTATGCTGTACCCACCATGTTATACTTTAGCAGATCTTAAGTAGAGGAGTCCAGCACCAAAGGGCTAGGTTTTTTAGCAACACCTTTTTAAGACACCTCTTAATCATTCAAACCTGACATAACACTTAACAGGAGCCCAGCACAAGCCATAAATGCCCTTGAATAGTGCAAAATTGAAGTAGTAAACAAGGATATATAAAGTCAATATGAGGAATCAACTATGGACCTGCCACAGAGTTAAAACAGCTCTGCCCATTTTTTCCTAATTCTTTAATGACTAAAAAGAACAGCACCACTTCTTTGGATGTGCTGACTTGAATATCAGCATGGAGCCTACAGAAATGACAGATTTCTGGGTTTACTGCTAAAGCACTAAATTTTTCCCAAGCTCCAACCTTCCTCCTTCCACACCATAAAATGTTACCAGAAAACAAGGAAGAACTAAAATATGGATGAAGAACAACATTGCTGGTCTATCAAAAAGCATAAACAAACCATTCCTGCACCAGTGTGTCAATGCAGGCAAACTTATGCTGAACCTCCTTACCTTCAGCAAGGCACCTTTAGCAGGATGTGCAGAAGCCCAGCTACACAGTTCAGATTGCAGATCTCTGACATTTTCCAACTGCTAACAGCCACACTCATTTTCTTAGCTTTAGACTAAGTTTCCAAATAAAATTTGCGACTGAGGAAGTATGAAAGCAGATCCAAATGGTTTCTGAGCTGCAGAATCACATACACAAAAAAACGCCCTCGCTGCACAAGTCACAATCTGAAGTCAAAATTTTTCTTCAGCATTTGCAGGGAGTGAGGGGAAACACAAAAMCCCTCTGCAACAAAGGCAACTGAATGCTGCCAGCTTTACCCAATTTTGCCAGCCACTGCTCCAGTATAAACATAAAGTAGCCCATCTGCAACTTCGTAGTGGCACTGTTCTTCCCCTCAGCTCCGCATGTGTTTGTGAACAAGCAGAAGCACACAAAGTGCAGGAGGAGCAGGAAGGGAGAAGGCAGAGAGAATGTGCATTATCAAAATACCTTGAGAGCGGTTCTTGGAAATGTGCAGCCTGCAAGCCTGTATCACACACTCATTTCCTGTGAAGTGCACACAGGCCTTTTCATTTCTCCACAGAAGAGGACAAAAATAAGGGGCAGCTCTAAAGTCTTCAAAGACAACACAAACCATCATTTAGTCACTCTACTTTAACTGAATCTACATTTTTATACTATTAAATTTATTTAAATTTTTATACTATTTAAATACTATTAAATATTGAACAGAAGTATTGATTCCCAGAATTTAAAAGGTAGGATTTTCTGCACCTCTCACTTTTAAATCTTAACTTGAAATCTTGCACTTGGTCAGGGGCAAGGAAGAATTTTACTCCAGTCATTTTGATCACTCACTAACACGAAGTCACCAAATCCTGCTACATCAAACAGCACAGCACCATTTGCTGTTTTTTTAAAGGTTGAGACTGATTTCAGCAAAATGGTGACCTAATTAATACCTTACTGAGGCAGAAGGATGCAGGATATGCACAAACGCAAACCAGAAGAGTAGGTAGTAATGAAGGAGACTGACAGGACAGAAGGGATTAAGTTRCTATCATAGCCACCTTTTGCCTCTACTTAAAAGTAATCACCAAACTAATTAATGTAGCATGTAGTTGCATTATTTTAAATAAATATGCTTCCTAATGACGCACATTTAACACTTTACTCTGTAAAAAGATATTGTCCCTGTATGGCATACTCAGCTCTTGTACCATCAACATTTTAAGTTACAGAGATGCACGTATCCTCCTCCCCATCTTGAGAGCTTTTGGTAAGCACTACTAGCCRAGGTCTGCAACAGCCTGGAATAACAGCTCAGGAACATACCACCTCCCCACAGCTTTTATTAATCTAACCACAGTATCAACCCAACMCAAATGATGTCATATTTAAGTACTGGCACTATCTCTTTATTGCTGACCAAACCAAGGTTGGGGAAATCAGGACAGAGAAGCCTGTGGGTGGCAGGGGGACAGGGGGTGGCAGGGAGCTAAAGGGAAAGAGTAGAAAGAAAGAGCGAAACATTCCCAGTGGAACACAGAAAAAGAGAAACATGGGAAAATACACAATTCCAAAGGCACATTTTCTCCTTTGTTTCTCAGCAATGCAACCACAATATTGTTGACAGCAATTAAGAATYTACACCACCCAGCCCCAACTCTATCCTTGCGCAAACTGACCACCAACTTCACAGAAATCCCAGCTGGATTGACGAGGGTAAGAGGCATGTTTGATGCTGCCTTCTGGAAACTGAATTTGGCCCTCATTGAGCAGGCACAGTGGGGACAGAGAGGAACACCGGGGAGTATCTGAAGAAGCTCAGCCTCTCCCCAGTAATCCTCTATGCCCGTATTTGGGGACCCCAGCACAGTTTACCTGTGCCTTCCAATGCAATCTTACAGAAAACTCCTATGTTGCTGCTCAACCCCACTACTTTAAATAAGTGATAAGCAAGCCAGGTTATTAAACGATATACAACATACTGAACATTAACAAGGAGCACAGAAATATCAAAGACCCAGATCCCAGTCTAACTCAGGAAAAGATGGGACCCTGTGTAGGAGGTTGGCATCCCAGAAATCCTGCATTTTTGTGCCCAAGAGCCTTCCCCTCTGGAGGGAACAAGAATCCATATTTCAACAACTGTCTTAAATCACATATCCAGCAGAATCACTCATGAACACAGAAACAAATCTTGGCTTCCTCTGCAGCAACTGGCCACATTTCATCGTAACTTGATTCAACCAAGAGCATCATTATGTGATAATACAGCYTCAGTCTCAAAACTTCTGTGCATGTGCATAATTTTTAAGCACATGACCATTGCCTTGCTGTGACTGAATGGGCCATTTGACATTCACACAGCATCTGAATTGCAGTTGCAATTGCTTGGAGAAAGAAGATATACTTGCATATCTCCTTAAGGACACAGTCAATAGAGAATGAAATACCAGGAAACTAGTGATTTCTGATTCCACCCCATTTTACTGAGTTGAGTGTGGTTAACATGTGACTGGATTTTTCATTTCACTGAGAGCTGCAAGGACTAGAACTACTAAATGGCACTGTCTGGACCACACAGTCCTAAATAGCAGCTTGCTAACAATACCCTTTACCCTTTCCAGAACAATGCTCAAGCCACATCCCCCTCCTTCATCATGCAAGAGAATAAACAAGCCAGGGACATTAACTTAAAATTCCTAAGTTCCTCTCAGTTACCTCTGGGGTTCATCCAGATCCCGTTTCCAAGCTTCTACTAAGCAGGAAGGAATATACACTTAAACTAAGCTTTTAAAAAAGGAAAAAAAAAATCCTAAGAGTAGCATGAGCTGAGGTTTTTACGTAGTAACCATTCCAAAATTCTCAGTAAGAGCGCATGTGTTTGTGGGAAAAAGTGAGTAGCGGATCCTGCATGGCTGTGAGCACCATGACTCAGATTGCATAAAGAAGGAGGATTTAGCGATAACCTTTGCGATGAGGCTTTTCATGGGTGCGCAGCACTGATCTTCTGAGAAACRGCAGGTGTGAGGCTGCGTTCTGACTGTGCGAGGACGGCGAGYTCCTCTGCCTTTCAAGGCAACCCCAAATGGGCATGTGCGCCCCGGTTCACAGTAACCCTGCTTCCCTGTAACGCCTTCAGTTRTGGCAGGCAGCTCCCTTTTCCAGGTAAGACTAAGTGTGGGCACTGCTTCTCCAGTGGTTCATATGAAAGGAAAGAAGTGGTGTGAAGACCAAGTTACCTGGACCTGCACGGCTGCTTCCCCACAGACCCATCTGAGACATCACATAATGTGGAGGTTTCACTTTAAAAGAAGCATCTCCCTGCCCTGATACGGTGAAAAGCACCTTGACACCAGGACGGTCTCAATGGAGCCTCCCAGGCTACTCCCAGCACCCCGCCGCCACCCCAGCACAGCACATGGCTCCCTTCAACGCCGGCAGTGAGATGCCAGCACCCCAAATCTCCCCAGATTCCTCGGGAAAAGCCCCCTAAGCCCCAACACCCTCCCTCTTCCAAGCCAACAACGGCCCCAACGCCCCCACGAGCCGAAMCAGGGGGGGCTGGACCCCCACGTAAGCCAGGGGGGACCAGAGCAGACAGGCAGACGGACAGACAGACTCCTCGCAGCCCGCCCCCCAAAAAGGCCGTTTCCAGTTAACGCAGCACAACTTACTCTAGGCACCTCCGGGGCCACGGGCGGGCGGCGGTGCCTCCGGTGCGAGCGACCGCTCAGTGCCGGGGCTACAGCGGCGCTGGCCGGCCCGGCCCCCGCCGCTCTCCCGCCCCGAAGCCAAACGGAGGCGGCCCCGCTCCCCGCCGCCCGGCGCCGCCGCGCTCCGCATTCCCCCCCGGCCCCTTCGCTCACAAAGGGGCCGGTGCGAGGCTTACCGGGGGCGGCGCGGCTGCCCCGCCGGGCCCTCCTCGGGGCGGGCGGGCRCCGCGGCAGCAGCTTCGGCTCCGGGTAGCGGAGCGGAGCGGAGCGGCACAGAAAGGATGGGATGGGGTAGGAGGGGAGGAAACCCCCCAAGTGTTTCTTTTCCGAGGAAGGAGCCACGGGGGAGGGGAAGGGGAGGGGTTTCTCCCTCCTCCACCACCCCGTCTTTTCACGGCGTGGCTCTTGCAAGGGGAAAAAAAGTAAAGAAGAAAAAAGTTCGGAGTTTTTTAAAAGCAAACTTGGACGGATGGGGGAAGAGAGAGGAAAAAGGCAAAGAAAAAAAACGATGCTGTGAAAGCCCCTCTGCTGCAGAGTGGTAGAGGAACCCCACCGGGATGGYACCGCAGCACCCGCCAGCCCCGGGACCCGCCGGAGCCACGTGTCGCTCCGGGCAGGCGGTGGCCGGGCCGGGGTTCTGCCCCTCCTCTCACCATCAGCTGGCCTGCAGCGCGGGGATGGGGCATCCGAGCTCGCAAGCACCGGGCAAGGGGCAATGTCCAGGGCCGAGGGCTGACGCAGAGGGCTCTTTAGACCGGCGGAAAATAGCGTGCCCGGGCTTTGCCTGCCAGAATTCTCCCAGTTCCTCTCGAGCACTTCAGGAGCTCTCAGAAGGGCACCGGGCACCCTGGAAGCACAGCGTGTGCGGCAGGATAATACGCACTTTTAGGAGCGTGGTCAAAAACAGACTATTGTTTTGGTGGATCAAATTAAAATACTGGAAATCATACAAAAGGTCACAAATGCAGAGAAATGTTATTATACAAAATACAAATAGTGCACCGTGTGGTGCATACTGTAAGCATATTGCTTCTCAGAGAGAATAGATATAATAGGAGAAAAGATAAACTTTGGAATTCAGTACAAACCTCACAGTTTAAAGGCCTTGCCTGTAATAAGGCTATGATTTGATCGTGTCACAAGAGCTGTCACTCACCTATACTTCCTCTAGATGCTGCTGAGCCTGCTGCACACATTCCTTGGTGTGTGCCTGCCGGGTGAATTCCCCTGTTGAAAAAGCTGTATGCAAACCCCAAATGCAGACATGCTCTGGCTGCTCTGTACCAGCCTAGTGATGCAAAGCAGCTGTAATTCCAGCTTGAGCAGCAGACTAAAGGCTTTACAGCTGCTTGGCATTGCTAGGGAGCATAAAGCAGTCAGAAACACACCACTGAATCTGATCCTCAGCCTTGCCAGAAGTTCCACTGAGTGTTGAGACATCAGTTCTTGTTTTTTCTTTCAACCAAGCACGAAGATGTTGCTGACCACAAAAGAATTTCTGAACTTTTGTAAGAATCTGGGCAAGGCACTTCATTCTTTTTCAGAGAGGCTTCAGTGGGAGAACCTGCCGCTGGAGCTCTAAATCACAGCAGAGATAAAGTGCTCATCTGTTCCATTTTTGGTCTTTAAGTAGGCTTGTCACACTTTTCTTTGTATTTTTTGGATGGCAGCTTCAAAAATGTCCTGTGGTTTGCTTTACAGTTGCCTAGTAGGGAGTCTGTTTCGCTCTGTGGATATTTATAACATTTATTGGGTGACTTCACAGACTCTTCCAGCTACCTTGCCTTAACATTAAACGGCYTGGTCTAATTCTGCCTTTTATTCTTCTTCTTCATCTTTGCCTGTGAGAAGTTAACATCCAGCCTCACTGCTCCGAGATTGTCTGCAGCTCTTGCTTATATTTCTATTATGCACTTGAAACAATAACCTTGCAGCAGTTACAACTGAAGTGTATTGCAGCAGTCCTCTTCAGCTATAAAAGCCAGTGAGACATGTCACAATGACACCTTTGACCACAATTTTCCAAAGCTCAGATTTGGTCCAAAATGTGTTCAGGATTAAGGTACCTCTGAGGTGGGTTCATACGGATGGAAAACACAAGGATGCTGAAATAGCTTATGTCCTGTGACATAAAGGAGGAGAAGGCAACCACATCATGCACAAGTACAGGCTTCGCTAGTGCTGCCTTTCTTTCCTGTGAGCCTGAAACCAAGTCTGGATGTGTTTAAGGTGATAAACAAATCCCGTCTTTRGGTGAGTTTTCTTGAAGAAAAAAGAGCACAAGTAAATTCCCTAGAACCAAGACTTCCCATGCTCTCACTACTGGATTGATGATTTTTTCCCCAACTGCTTTCAGTGCAAGGATACATGCCTGAAAGGTTTTGTATAATGACAGTGAGGATACGAGCAGGCWAATTTAAACACTGCCACTGGTGCATCTCTGGGGAAAGCTGGATCTATCCTAAAGACAAGTTTTTGAGATGCCCAGSATGCTGACGACAAGTGTGACAAGTGTGACAGTATTATACGTTTCATCCTACCCCTCRTTTTTCTTCTGCCTATTGATACATATACCCTCACTATCTATCCCTGATAGTAAAACTTTAAAACCACATTAAACATGAAAGAATTAATTGACAGAGCAGCAGAAATTACCATTTCAAGAGAGTTTTGTCTGAAGTCTCACTGCTGAAAACAGTAGATGTGAGCTCATTCTACCTTTGGATCATAGTTCTACTTTGTGGTGTTAATCTGCTTTTTCTTCAGCAACCCCCAAGTCTTTGGTAAGTTCCAAGATGTTGATATCCAGCAGCCCAGGAGCCGGTAACACCYTAACAGCTTCACTCCTTCTCAGCATGCAGACTCCTTACAACTTGCTTAAGGTAGAAGGAGCCAACATCTGCCTATTTAGTCCTTTCAGTTTGGTAGGGTTGGGAAGAAGAAAGGTACTGTGGTAGGTCACTGCAAACTACTGAATAAAGATGGTTTTCTAGGAAAGCAAAAGGCAAACATTGCCCCATGGGAAGGAAGAGGACAGTATGATGAGGGGAAAGAGCTGGAGATAATGAAACACTGAAATTCTGCATAAAAAAAATGAAAAAAGGTGCAAAACACAAAAAGAGAAGAACATGGAGGGCACAGAGGAGGTAAGATGGGTGAACACAATAGATAGATCAGTACTTGTCTGCCCTTCTGCCCCACATTGCAGACCTGAGTGTGGAAGCTCAGCTGGGGCTGGAGTACCAWTTCCAGATGACAGCTGACCAATTACTTAGGACCTCAGTGCCATAATGGGCCCCCAGGCAGACCCAAACATGCTCTTGCTCACTGGTGCAGACACTGGCTTTCTGGATGGGATGTGAGTGGGATATGAAACTGCCCTGACAATGTAGCTGACCAAGTGGCCAGGAATAACCTGGAGGGTCCCTGCCAGGTGGTTAAATGGGAAGGAAAGGGAGAGAAGAAAGCAAGGGGAAGGCCTGGGTACCCTGGCATGAGAGGTCAKGCAGGCAGTGCATGAGATTTTGTGCAGACAGGAGAATGGAAGGATGCTTAGGGGGTGGGTAGGAAATGACTGTCACCATCTCCTGATGTGCTGCAAGTCCAACCTTCAAATAATACAAAATGCAAAACGTTTCACTGCATTCAATCTTAGGTAGTTATTCCCTTTTGACCTTTCCTCCCCTTTGGAGATGGTCTCTCTCAACTTACTAAAAGCCTCCTTTTAGGAGGTGCTAACAGCAAAGCATTAAGAAGAAGGAAAAAACCCACCAACAATACAAAAGGAGAAAGCCAGAAGGACAAAACCAACTGCAAAAATCCCCCATGCCTCTGCTCCCCTCAGGAAAAAAACAAAACAAAACAAACAAACAAACAAACTCTTTAGGGGTTTACAGCGAGTTGAAGCTGTTTTAGCTCCATTCTAATGAAAACATTAGCACAAGTGGTGGCCCCTTTGCATGGTGAAAGGGAAGGCCCCTCCTTCCTCTACCAGAGCAGGGCTCTTCTTAGTAACGAAGAGAAACTGCTTTCCAGGAAAGCGAAGGTACAGGAGCTGCCCAGAGCAGGGTGACCCAGCGCGGCTGCGGGGAGCCGAGTGCTGCGGCTTGTGGGCTGCCAGCCCCGGCACGGAGCTGCTGCGCTGGCGTGCCCAGCGCTGCTGCSTGTCCCGGAGGATGGATGGAGCGTGGGGAGCCAGAGCCGGCAGCRCAGGGGCACCCCGCGCACCGCGACTGATGCGCCTTCGTGCCAGTCTGCGACATCCTCTGCTGTTGCGGCTTCCCCCACGGCCACCGCAGCACACTTCTCACATGTTGCCAGTCCATGCCCCTGGTTCACTCGAGGGAGGAAGACCCAGCACAGCAGCCTTCTAGGTTTTCATACAAAGCATCAGGCTGCATAATCTGGAAGGTATTTAGGTCAGATTTAAGCAGCTGCAGTCTTTTATAACTGTACAGCAAACAACGCCCTTACCTCTGAATCTTGCCTACATCAGACACCTTGGAGCAGTGCAGGACAATCCGGGACAGGCTAAACGAGGTACCAGCGTTCCACACCATTGGAGACAGGGGGGAGCTCCTTGAGGACCTCTGTRGCCACATAAATCCATGACCGCACCAGGCAACTTCTCCCAACATTGCTGCCCAACAGACAGGGAGGTAGAAGTTCAGTTAAGGATTTAATTGTATCCTTGAGGACTATTGCCTCTCCTTGATACCCCACATTTTCAGAACGTGTTCTTGGAGAGTTGTCCTAAACGGGTGGACCTTGTCCAGATCCCTATGCTTAGAATCCTTCACTAGGAATATGGAGCCTCAGTGCTGCCCATGCTCCCCCCGATTTGTCTCCCCCCACTGAGGCAGGTGGTGATGCTGAACTCCACTCACTCAACGGACACAGGCAGAGTTCTCTCACTTCAGACTCTTTTCCAAAGCAGACAAAAACAGCCAGAGAGGCTGTTTGCAGGGAGCAATCCAAGACAGAGATCTCGTAGCAGAAAGGTTTTAAKTGATTGCTGGACCTAGAAACAAGGGCTTTCTCAGCTGAGGAAGCTTCTAAATGAAGTAATACAACATAAAATGCAAGGAGTATAGTTATGGACTATTATTTTGGGAGTGGTTGTAGCRGAAGCATTGCAGGCTGGTACCCTCTGACAGCAGTGGCTACTGCA